GAGGCATGGAACATTTGTACCAAATATGCCAAAGATGTCTACAAAATTATCTCAGTTATTATTAAAAAACTAATTATTTTTGAAAACTTTGCCACCCTGTATCTCAAAAGTTAAGGCGTTTAGGACATTCGTCCATAGGAAGTTTTTTTCTTAAAATGGGTCTAAGAATTACCTCCTTAAATATTAGCATGTGTTTAAGGAACACCCTGTATACCAAGCATAAATTAATACGTAGATAAGGTATAGATTCTACACCTTTATTAATTGAAGTAATATTTTCAAGCCACATAGAATTCAACTTAGTATGTAGGTACTTATATTTCAAGTTGCCTAGTCAATCTGACTAGAAGAGACACTTCTAATTTGCTGTTCCCCTCGAGAACCAAACTATAAAAAACTTGCTCAAGACCGTCATTGTAATTTCTCACATTAATTTTAGGTATTGTGTTTTATAATTCTGAATTTGATTTGAAACCAAAATGATACATGGATAGCCCTTACTTTTTATCAGTTATTTTGTGGACCTCGTTAAAATTTTCCCTCAGTATCCGGACCCCACCTAAAACTACTTGCCGACCCCTGGTCTATACTGATCATTTATCATTCATATGCCTCATTGCATTTCATTTTACTCTCGGGTATTTTACCGATTTCCAAACAAATGTTGACTCACATTTATATTTAGTGTTTTGTTAAATAGGTTAAACTCGTAATGCAAATGATCATTATTGTTATTACAACCCTTGTAGGGTTGTAATACTCACTCACTTAGGACTTGGCCTACCCTTCACTAATGTTTTAGTTCATTTGATATTGAACCAATATATTTCCAGGCGTTTCTCTCTTGGAGAGATTGATGGATTTAGAATTGTATAAAAGCCAGGATTCCAATTATATTACCATGCTCCGTCAAAACTTCAGGTCACACTCAACCATTTTGAAACTTCCTAATGAACTTTTCTATCAAGGTCAACTTCAGGTAGGTTTTTTGTTGTTTTGATAAAACATTATTTTGAAATCCAACTATTTGTTCTAGGCCGCCGCACCAAATTCAGAAAATGATCCCATAGCTAAAATATTTGTATATGAAAAAATAGACGAATTGAGAAAGGGCAAAAATGTTACAAAACGAAGAAAAGGAAAAGCTGTGGAATTCTGTAACATTATTTCCAAAGAGAGCAGACAGGGTAGATCTCCGAGGTAGGTATTCAGTTATATTTATTTTTGATAAAGCGTCAACTGACGAATTATGCCCAAAGTCACTCCTTAGACTTGAATTTGTTTCTATTGAAGTCTGATGCCGATTTTTTTCCATAAATCACTTATTTGCATATGATTTTAATTGTGGGCTTTCATATTTCATGTTTTATTCCTACGTTTGCAAATTTGCATTTAAAAAATATTCAAAATAATTTCAGAATCTTTTTTTTTTATTTTATTTATTCATTTCAAAAATATTCTGTCAAATATTCACTCATCGGTGGAGTATTTTCAAAGATGCAAAAGTATATCGTAGAAAAATTAATCTCTGTTATTGATCTAAGTTATCAATAGAAATACATAAAATTGGACTATGAAAATTAAAAAAAAATTGTGATAAAATAGTTTATTTCAAAAAATCTCTTGGATAGCGGCAATTTATTCTCCTCAAAAAAATGTTAACAATTTGTTTTTAAATGTATCTGGGGATTTTGTATGTTTTATTATTATACTATAAAAATAACTTTAGCTATTGAATTGATTCATAAAATGCTTGAATGTACCATTAAAAGTTTTTACTCTCGTTACCTACTTGACAATTTAATTTCATCTTTTTAGCTATTTTAATGGAATGGAAATGCAAATGGTTCTGAACTATGTGAAAGCCTTGATATCCCTTCAATTTGAAAACAGTGAGGATAATGTACTTCAAGAACAAATAGGCGTTGTTACACCATACATTAGACAGGTAAAATATTACTTCTTGTGTCTGATAGAATGTTCTCTTTGGTTCATAAACAGATTTCAAATATGTAATCAACATTCATAGGTATACAAAGTGAGGGAAATTTTAAGAAACAACAATTTTGAAGGAGTTGAAGTGGGTACTACAGAAACATTCCAAGGGCGCGAGAAACGAATTATCATCATTAGCACAGTTAGAGCTCAACAAGATCTGCTTTTGCATGACAAACAATACAATCTGGGTTTTGTACGCAATGAAAAGGTAGGTGGAATCATTATTGTTATTTGGGAATTTTTTCCCACCTAATACACAGCAGGCAACATTATATAGTTTGTCGCATAGAGCTTTTTTTGAAAGTTTGAGGTGAAAGAGTAAACAAGTTATCAAAAAATGTTTTGTATTAAAGAAGTTAATATCAGTACTTTTGACTTCAAAATTATTTACCAATATATGGTGAATTGGTGGTGGTGTATTGAGTAGAAGGGGTGCGAATCAAAGTTAGATTTTTCAAATGTATTATTATATACTAGGGTACCGCCCCGGCTCCGCACAGGTGCAGTGCTGATACTAAATATACATATAAACGCATGCGATCGCTGCTAATCATAAAGTGCTATTGGGCCTTTGACGCTTTGACACTCCACCGGCTCCTCGACCGGTACCGCCGCAACTGCTGCATTTTAAACCTGTAATATCTTGGAAAATATTCATTTAAATTACATGCTGCAAACGGCCATATTGATCTATATTAAATGCCAATGTATTTAAGGTACTTAATTGGATAATGATTAATAATGCTGTATTGCTTAAAATCACTTCGTAAAAAAGTAAAGGATAAAAAATAGTTATTGTGGGTTATCCCTAAAAGATAGACATATACCATTACAGACTTTTTGTAGACCTTTTTAGGTTAACTTTACGATTTCTTTCAAAGATATTTTAAAAATTAAATTTGTTCAAAGTATTTATTTTTATAACAATTTATAAAATAATAAATGAGTTTTCTCCTTTTTTTTAAAAAAAAAACAAATGGTCATCTATAACTGTGAAATTCATGAGCCTTTTAGTCAGAACAAATTTCAAAAGTAGTATGAATACATTATTTAAATGTATTTGAATAATTTAAAATCAATGACTTACCAAATGACGTAAAAGACAGATCTTCACTGTTTTTGAAAGGAAATAATTGAAATATATACAAAAAACATAGTGTAGGTACCAAAATATCCTTAGTATAAATTTGGGTTTGTATGTACAATTGATTAATTAATTTTTGTAACGCTTAATTAGTTATTCCTTATAAAATTCAATTTGTTTCATCTGATGGTATCTTTTTATATCAAGCACTGCACATTAGAAATAGTGAATATTATTTGCATAATTATTGTATTTTGATTTTTTTTTTACACTTAGTAGGATAAACTATTTCTGAATAAGACTTCTTTTTTCATAAACTGTTCTTATACTGTACATTAACAATCTGACTGATGTTTGTGTGACACTATCTGATAGGTTGTGTGATAAACTCACTTCTACCAATGGAGCAGAGTATGGCCATTTGATTAAAATTACATAAGTTATCAGGTAACCGAATAAGAGGTCCAGTTTTAGATTCATTTGTCAGCTACCTCAAAGGTAAGACTCAAAATTGGAAATAACTTGGGCAAACCCTCAATAGTCACCACGGGTCTTCTCAAGGGTACAATATTGGGTCCATCACTATTCCTTATTTACATGAACGAAATTTATGAAACAAATTTACAAACATTTACACATGATGTATGGTCAGAGCTGTATCAGGCTACTGATTTTGAATTTTCTGAAATACATAAATGGCTAATCTCAAACCTCCTAACTTTGATAACTGTACGCATTCAAAAATAGAAAAGAGGTCAAAAATCAAATATCTAGGTGTAATATTGGACCAGCACTTGAGGTGGAATGAGCACATTAATTTCCTTCTCAACAGAGAATAAAAGCTCTTACACAAATTCCGAGAGATATTTCAAGCAGAAAAGTTTTATTTGTAGTTTGCAACTCATTAAATTGAATCAGTATTATGATAATGTATCACAGTTTGGGGAGGCATGTTCAATAACCTCAGACCAACTACAGACTGAAAAAAAATTTTCAAATACACGTACAAGATAAATAGACTAATTTCCACTTCAGATCTATATAAACTAGTGAATTTTTCATAAATTCCCAATTTACATATTCTAGGACCACGAGATATACCACAGACCTCACTTTGAATTTTTCCACTTTCTGCAAAACTCGTTTTCAAAGATATTTCCTTTATATTATTGGAATTGAATCTCCTCTTACAAATATGCCACCGCTGAAAGAGATTCGTCTTTTGTCTTTCACTGCAAGACAACTAGGTGAAACCAAAGCTTCAAACAAAGCATTCATAATCCAATACCAAACAGAACTGTTTCGATCATTCGTAGGCCTTATCAGTGGTGCTAGACTAACTACGAATGCATTGTTGAACTCAATTATCTTTAAAGGACAGTAAGTTGAGGCGGTGACATATAATACTATCGATAGAAGACTCAATCCACGATATAAATGTGGCTGTAAAAATTGAAAGTTCTACATCAGTACAGTGGATATAGTACATACTTGCATATACAGTGTAAATCATTTGAAAAAATTTCTTGAGCCCAATAGCAGTAATCTAATCTTTATTTTCGTCATCTTCTTTCAATTTTCTCTCTACTCAAATTTAATTGCTCAGACCTTTAGCACAAACTGATTTGGGTATTGGCGCGAATTGAAGCTAAGACATTATTGTCATGGTACCTTCGATTTCGACATTGAGAATGACTATTTTCCATCCGAAAATTAGGCGGATTCGCAACCAATCTTAATTAGAGACAGGCTTGTAAAGGAGACTTACATTTGATGGAATAATAATTTTCAATTTCAATTATTTTGATACATTTATTTCATTGATTTTGACTATTTTATCATTTCTGTAGCTTCTTATTCAGAACCATTAATTGAAAATCGGACTTGAATATGAAAATTACAAAAAAATTCAAATGTAGGGTCAAATCTATTTCTAAGCTACTTTTTGAAATAACTTTTATCTCCAACGCAAAGCAAAGTATCGAGAATTTGCCCTTTTCGCGGGATTGCAGTAGGCTGGGTTTAAGACTCACTCAGGATAAGTATTGCGAAAAGTGCGGCCCATGTACGTCTACGCCTGCACCATAAATCAAATCTCTGTTTTCAAAAATGAGTAAAATAAGGGGTTTCTTCGTCTTAAGTGTGTTACACTGTATATTCGACCTCTGAACGTGCATTGTTTGCAATGTAATTTCGCCTGAAAAATATAAAAATGAACAACACAACTAATAGTGTAAATAAAAACATAACCCACGAAAGTTCATCGTGTACTCTAGTAATGTGGGTATATTACCAGATTATTATATATTAAGTTTAGGGAGACTTTATAACATTCAGTGACCAGTGATCATATTTACACATTGTTTTTATTCATTTTCAGAGATTCAACGTTGCTCTAACCCGTGCCATGAGCAAGCTCATAATCATAGGCTGCGGGCATGTTTTGGCTACAGATGCGAAGTGGTTGAGTTACATGGAACTATGCGAAAATCTAAATGGTTTTTGTGGTGCCCCCTTCGCGAGACGTACAAGAGAAGTAATAGAGGAGATTACCAGCAGATTCAATAATGTAAAAATGATTGACAGCCAGTATAATCATTGACAATATCTTTGCTGAAAATTTTTCCTCGTGAGATGCTGTGTGGAATGTGATTAATTTTGAGGGTTGTGAATATATATACAATCAACATGATAAAATTAATAATTAGTTAGGGATTAGTTAAACCTTATTGTTTGAGGCAACAAAAAAATTTGACAATTTTATATTTTTGTTTACCACTGGTTTGAATTTTTCCGAAATGCAAATTTTGTATTTTTTTAAAAGCCTAGAAGTGACAGTCATAATTTAGAAGTTTTGAAATGGAAGTCTTACCAAGGTTATTGGTACAAAAGAATCTAATCAAAAATGTTTTACTGTATGGGGTTAAATTGAAAGTATTTTTACTTTTTCGTTTTTCCTTGTTTCAAATTTAAAATAGCCAACCAAAGAAAATGAGTTATTTTTCTTTCATTATTGTAATTCGTTACCTCTCTATTTTTGTCTCAAGTTGTGATACTTTATTATTGTATACTATTAGCTATTTACCAAAGAGATAGGTGTATTTTAATAAGTGAGATTTATTACTGAATTGCCAAACAAATGATTGCCAAATGTATACACCATGGAAGGTCAGTTGATGATTCTTTGCATCCGCAAATAATTTCGAGAATTTAAAATAAATTTTGTAAATTAATTTAAACACACATTTATAATGTGCAATGCAGGCTCTAAAAATTCAGTACTTAACTAATTATTAGTTACATTTCTGTTTGTGAATCAACACATGCCATTTAATTGGTTTCAGTCTTCATTGCTGAAGTTACTGTTTTTAAACACAAAAAACGATAAAATACAAAGAACACAAGTGAAAAAATCTTATGAATTTTAACATATTTCATAGTCTTCAAGCGTGTATTGCACATTCTTGTAGTTGATGTCATTTTTCTTGCTAGTCATCACTAATCACTTCAAAGAATATGAAAAAGCCGTCCACACAAGAGATATCTTTTGTCAAAGTAATTTTCTGGGTTGATGGCAGTGGTCTAACCAGTTTGCCTTACTTTTTATTTACAACTGCAAAGACATTTATAGTCTAGTTCACAAGTTGAAATTCATGTTGAATACATATAAAATTCCTAAGAATATGAGTGATATCTCATTTTAATGATTTTACAGCAAAAAAATTGCAATTGATATTAACAAATTGAGATGAAAAATATCTTGAACTAGCAATACTTGAAGAAATTAATATAAACGATTATGAATGGAAGGAAATTCATAACTAAAAAGTTCTAACTTCTGAAACCCTACCTCCATTATGTATAATTTGGATTTAATGCCAAAAATAAGGCTCTGCGCACCTGTTACAACATGGACAAATCACCGCTGAAGACACTATAACCCATGAAATATAGTATGGAATATAATTTTAAAATTTGAAAAAATTAGGATGTTATCTGAGCACTACAAAGAATTGAGTCCTATTGAAAAAAAATAATCTAGATTTTTTTAAAGTCAAGCACATGTTGGGATATTTTTGTTTACTTAAGTAGTTCATGTCATAATTTTATCCTGCTTATTATAATTTTTCTATTCTATCTATCTAAAAGGGCCACTGCTCATACTGTTTGAATGTTTCTCATGGCAGTTCATGACGGAGGCAAATGACAAAAACCTTGCAGCATTGAAAATCCCAGCGGGGTTATTCTGCTAAAGAGTTACAAAGGTGGTTACAACTGTAGTCACTGTATCATAACAGCAAGGAATTCTGTTTTGTGAATTCGGGTGAAGCAGACGTGTTTAGAAAGCAGTTGTTATTAATATTGAAATTGAATACTGACCTCATTGATTTCTTACTACACTTGGGTGCTAGCTACTAAACACATTTCGGATCTGTCCAATTCTTCGGAGCATGAAGTGTGAAATATTTTCAAACCAAAACCCATTGAACATCTGCATACTTATTTCAACCTATTTGTTTCATTTTTATTACTAATAAATATCTTCGATAAAAGTGCATGCCTGAAAATTGCCCATCAAGTAGAGCTCAAAGAAAGCAGCAATTTTTACAGAACAGTGTACAAAACGACAACATGTGCTGTAAAAACGCTGTTTCTTACGAAACACGTATTGAGAATTTGTAAACTACTTTTCCAAAGTTCTGAGTTCCTCCTCCCGTCAAACGAGGGCTCTGTGTGCACGTTCGACTTGATTCTCTGTGTTTTACACTGAAAATTTCAAATTTCGCAAAATGACAATAGTTGAAAGCTAAATAATGAAAATATCACAATTGAATTTTACTTGAATATGTTATGGATTTTCATGAATTATCAGCCATTTCTATCACAAGTCTACAAAATTATCAGAATAACTTCACAGGACTAGGGCTCTGCCTTCAAATATGTGCCATTTTTAATTATATGATATCTCTCTAATTAATCACTTGTTGGCATTTTCAGAGGTTTAATTTTATATTATAGATTTGTAACTTTACATTCTTTATTATATTTTGATTTGGTACATCTCAAAACTTTTCTTCCAGTTCATTCTTTAGTTACCAATTTTATTGTTGTTGATTGGTCAGGAAATATTTAAATGTTATTATATTATAAATAAGCCTCAATTTCATAATTAGCGGGATGTTATAGTCAACTGACTACATCTCTAACTGATGTATGAAAGTGTAATAAATATATCAGGGTGAATAATGAAATATTTACGGCATGGGGTAGTTTAATGCAGGTTAATTCAATACATTTAATTAAACTTTATAGTTTTCGTCAAATCACAAAACATATTTATTAAACTTAAAACTGACTTGATAATATTGAACTTGACTCACAGTCAAGTTCAATATTCACCTGAAAATGTTTCTACATGTTTCAGTTAATTTCAGGCGTTTCATGATTGGCAACACTGATATTTGACCTATGAATTTAAGAAATGTGATTGTAGTGTAATTAATAAAGTATTAAATAATATTTTAGTAATCTAGCATTTATAAGAGCACGTGAAGTTAATATTGTTCGGCCTATGATATCTGAAACGTTACTTCACACTACAATAAAATATGTGACAATGCCAACCACTGATGCGTTCTTTGTTTTTAGTTGAAGTTCTCATAGTCATAGAATGAACAGTATAAGCGCTAGATATAGATGTCATTTAACAAAAACACTAAACCATTAAATTGAATGCAGTAAAATTTATTTTCAATTGCAGTAATTAAATGTCTTCTCAATATTACATGTTGAATTTCAAAATTGCCAATCATGAATGGTCAATTCTCTTGAAAAATTACATTTCACATAATGGCAATTCTAACCTTTATAACCAGTCAAAATGAAATCATTGTAAATTATATTTAGTTGTTACCTCATACTTACTGTATGAATGTATCCCATGTGTGAATGCTGACAACTTTCCCCCAGTTTCACTGGATGGTTGCTCAGCATTTATTTTATTTTGTTACATCGCAGAATTCAAATAGCGATGGCTTGGTACTTACTGTTCAAAAAATTGAACAAGACTGAAATGATAGTTTATATTATATTATAACTATAGCTTAGTAATTTAGTTTAGTTCAACGGAGCTTCTAGTTTTATTTCATGGATAGTGCATGTTGGATATGAGTAAACAGCAAAATACATTACTGAAGAGGTAAATTAGTTATTTTTCAACATCTGGAATAGTTGATCTCAAAAGTCTGTTCATGTATTTGTTCTTTTAACATCTGTTTTACAAATTTTTCACTTTGGAGAAGAAATTTTTTGTTTCAAAGTTTCATTTCAGTATTCAACTAAACATTCCCAGAGTATTTGTACATACAGTTGTTGAACTTGTCTTTTATCGTAATGTTCAGTACTTTAGAGAAATTGTTATTTTTTAAAATAGCATACATTCTCAAAGCTTTGAATGTTAACACGATTAGGACCTTGAAGTGTTTTCAAAGATTTACTGATATAAATGAAAACTTGCTAATATAAATACATATTTTTATATTTTATTGTGACAAATATATTTTGAGAATTTTAATATTTGTTTTTTATACAGTTTTGTTGTTCTAAAAACCTAACGCACATTGTTCTTATAATATCTAGTAAATGTAACGTTTTGAAGAGTGTGTCAAGCTTTCTATAAACCTACCCACATATCATTTGATAGAACAGTGATTTACACCCAAAATTTGAGAATTGCAAATTTATTCACAAAGCATTATTGAGAATATCTCAAAATATTGTCAAATCTTTTTGGGAAATAAAGTTTTTGGCTTTCTACTACTCCATCTTGATACAAAAAAATCTGAGAATTTTCTTATGTTATCCAGAGTGGTACTAAAGAGCCCTAAGGGTAGCGTCTTACCACGAAACATCAATGTCTACCAGTGAGGATGACAGTTTTATATGTAAGTGAAATTTTTGCCTTTCATTTAGTATATTGTGTAGGAATCCTGTGAATGATATCTGATTCAACTCCATAACGAACGTATGGAATACAAACTGGAGAAAAGTGTTTTCTGTATAATTCAGTGTTCATATAAAAGTATTTGTTTCGAAAGAATTTTTCTTCTGTGTAATTCATTGTTTATATGACAATAGCTGTTTCAGGAGGTCTTTTTCTTCCAGATTGTCTGAAAGTTTTCACAAGGGAGTATATTAGGACCAATTTTATTTAATATATATTTAGAACACCTACATAGCATTAATATATTTGAGTAAATCCGCAGTTTTGTTAATGGCACAGTTATAATATAGATCTCTCAAACTGGAAATATTTTCAAAAATCGTAAAAACACAGTGTAGTGAAGGAAATCTTTTTCCGTGACTCGCTTAGCTGGGGTTATTTTGGTGTTCTCTCTCCTGCCCCCTCGAATTTTTCTTCGCTGTGAACATATGTTCGAGACGAGTGTACAAATATAAAAAAGTTGAAACATCGCTAATCGAATGTACGTAGCCTGATAAATTTGAACATTCACCATATTTTTCTAACAGTCCACGAACTTTCATATAAACATTAAGTTTTTTGACATTATTGAAATTTGAAATATATTTGTAAACAGAAATTACAAAAATGAGAAGTTGAAAAAAAATTACAAAATTGAAGAAACTAAGAGTAAAACTTTCCCTCGGTTATCTTAAAGGTGCGATTTTGTTCCATCCTTTACATAAAAGAGGACGTATATAAATTTAAGTTATACAAAATAAGAAGCACTTTCGAAACAACTACTTTTTTATGAACATAAAAGTTATACCAAAAATAACTTTTTCCAATTCAGTTTGTGCCCCAAACATTCGTTGTGGAATTGAATAAGATATCATTCATAGGAAACGTACACAATATACTTTATGAAAGAGTTACGATATGAAATTCCACTCACATGGAACCATGTCCTCCTTTTCAGTTGATATCCATATCATGAAAGTGTATAAAAGAACGGGATCCTCCATCTTCCGTAGTCCGCCATCATGAATTCAGAATGAAGTAATTTAATTTTTTGTATTTTTTTAGCAACCCATTTGTTTAATACCTATATTATGAGGTGCATAATCAAACCAGTCCGCCATATTTAAGTATATAACTTTGCACCTTATGAATATTTTCTTGATATCATCTTCAATTCTGACTATTTACATGTATGTGCGCGTGCGTGTTTGCGTGAATTTGATACCGACAATTGAAGAAAGATTTTTTTCTGGAGCTCAAAAATATTGGAGCCATTGGTCAGTATAGGAAACAACTGTCATATAATCAGACTACAAATTAAGCAGATATTACATATTCAATTTCATATCGTTCAATAACATGGTATTTGATTTTTGACATAGGTCTTTGGCGGCCAAAAGTCTGGATATTTTGTAGTCTTTAGGCGTGATTTTTTCTATTGAAATTCGGAAATTCAAGAGGGGGGACTAGTTTTGTGATATCTGGTCGTGCTCTATGGAAGACTGGCTTTTAGGTTCAAAGATAGTTATTTCTCTGTTGAAATTCAGGAATTCGATGCTAACTCGTACAGTCTCTGGGAAACAGACAGCCACTGCAATGTACTTAACATGTCTGATATACTAGAATACCTATTCACTTGTAAAATAATCCTCATTCCACGATCCTGTAATTTTTGTAAAGCCGATACCTTATTTTGGTCAAATGAGTATAACAGACAAGCACAATTATCAAAATGGGGTTGGATTATATACAATTATATAATGTAGTTTTTGAGTACATCGAAAGCTGAGATGAAATTCTTGAGAAAAAATATATTTTTTTAGTAATTTTTCTATATATATAATCAAAATGAGCATGAAGAGATAAACGATTATCCACCATGAAACCTAAGTATTTGAATTCACTTACGAACTCTATTACATTACTTGCAATTTGTAATCTTATGTTGGGATTGTTTATAGCTTATAACCTGTTGATAAGATCATATATTTTGTTTTGGAGGTTTTGAGTTTTAATTTATTGCTATTCATGTACTTGAAAACATTTCTTAGTTCATTATTCATTTGATCAGCTACCGTTTCTATATTATCTCCTGAAATTGATCAAGTGTCGTCTGCAAAAACGGTTCATGAAATCACAACCATGGATGGTATCTATATCATTCAGGTAAGTTAAAAATAATATAGGTCCCAAAACACTTCCCTGAGGTACCCCGAAAATGACATCGCGAGATGATGACACTGAATCCTTTATTTTGGTTATCTGTTTGCGTTGTGATAAATAATCAGTCAGCCATAACAAAACAGTTTCCCTGATACCAATACTTTGCAGTTTATTTAGTAATAGTTATGTGGAGATCAATTGTCTCAAAAGCTCTTTTAGATCTAAAAATACGGCTATGATATAATGTCCCTTATCTATTGATTCTTTCCATTTTGAATTTGTGACTTGTAATGCAGACTCACATGAATGATGTTTTCTGAAACCTGACTGATATTTTAGTAAAATATCATTATTTTCTAGATATTCAATGAGTTGATTATAAACTGCGAGTTCTAATATTTTTTCAATACAAGGCAAAGTGTTGATTGGTCTAAATTCCCAGGATTTATTTGTGTTAGGGACTTTCTGAATTGGCACAAGGACACTGGTCTTGAGCTCCTTCGGGAATCTGAGGTTGAGGTTGAAGGTAATGTTTTTCATCAAATTTCAAGAATTCAAAATAGTAGCAAGATGGCTATGGGTTATTCTGTGATTTATGGTCGTTTCCTGTTCAAAATTGCCTTTTGGGTGTTTTTGAAAATGAATGCACCAATTTTAATTTTTTCGAAAACATGAGCAGGGCGTTCAGAAAATCGGATGAATGAAAAATTGAAAAATCATCAGATTTTGAAATGACGGAAAGATTTTATGATTCATAGTCCGATCCTCAAAAATAATTCATCTAGGGCTCTCCGGGGTAAATTACTCATATTTTTCCTCAAAATTAATTCATACTGACAGATAATTTTTTAAAATTGAATGAAACACCGTTGACAATAATGATCAATATGATCTCATCTCAACTATCTTGAAAACTATTCTATCGATTTGAATATAATCTTTTGCAGGAAAGGTCCACAGTTTACATAATGTGTCTGATTCCATATAAAAGGTTAGACAATATAAGTAAATATCTACTGTGAATAATTCAGTTGAAACTGATTTTTTTTCTGATTGATTCGGCCGTTACTTGATGAAGATCCATAGTAATTTCAAAAACTACACCTCAAGATTTGATCTCCACAAACTTTCTGTTTGTGTCTATTGTGTTTGAAATTAAAACTGATGTGTATGTGTAACTGTTGAAAATAAAAAATCAAACTATCACATTTAGCCTGCCCTGCTAAATGGGATAATGCAGCACCGTGAGCTCTAGCAGAAAACGAAACATTTTTGTAGAGTTGAATCGGTGCATAATCACAAAACTCCTTAGACACCTTGAAGCCGCCATCTTGAATTCATTAATTTTAACTAAAGATTCATAATCTCCGACCCCGAAAAACCACCTTGCAGCAATTTTGACCCTAATCACAAAACTCGTTCGCATCTTGAATTTAATCAATTTTGACAAAAGACTCATAACGAAAACGAACATGTTTGTTCGAATCTAAAATGTACTTTGGAAGAACGGACACGACGGCAAATTGAATTTGGCCCTATAATGCCCGAGCTTGGTCAAGTTAGAAGTAGGGAGGAGTTTGTATTTATTCCATCAAGGCACCGTACATAAGTAAACAGACTTCTATACGGTGATCAGGGGAACTCGCACCGCATCTGACGATATACGTGTTTCGTAACTAAAGGCTGAAGATTCTTAACGGTCCTCATTTCCCATCTCTTTCTTTTCAGACATTCCCTTCTGCAGCAGTAGAAGCAGAACTTATTGAACGAAGGAACGATGAAGTGAATTCAGCGCTGAGCGATCTCGCCAGTTTGGAAAATATTTGGCAATACTGGGTTTTGTAGCACAAATTATTTCAGAAAAATTAATGGCCTTACAGCAAAGTATATAATCTAGGGCTTCCAATATATGTTCATTATGAATGTTAGATTATGATGCTTTTGCAGCGAATATGTCCTTGTTTACCTACTGAGGGGTGTCTTCACAAATATTGTTCCTGGAAGGTATTATCAAGAGAGATGTGGCAGACTCCTAAGAATTTTTGGAATCTACCGACTGACTGATTGATTCCTGACACCAAAAGGTTTCTCTATCATCCGCTGAATGAGTTCCAGTTGAAGCTTAGATAAAAAATGGCCTAATCATTTCATCGTATAGCTAAATATAGCAAAAAAAATTAAAAATGGATTCTTTTTTTGAAGATAATAGTTTTCGGAAACAACTTTTTTGATTTTATTCATCCCCACAAATATACAACAAATCTGTGAAACTTCTGTAGATTTCTGTAGAAATCAAGAAAGTAATTAACTTCAATACAAACTCTACAAAATTCTTTTTTTCCAGTTTGTATTTAATAGCAACTTCGGTGCATGATCCGCATATCTTTTTGAAGTGTTTTTATTGAAATTTATTATTGTCTTCAGAAGTTTAACATATTTTTGTATAATGATGGAGCAGTAGAAAGCCATAAAGCTTTTTCACTGGTTTTGTGTTTCAACATTTTTGGAAAGAAGCTGGTCTACCTATTTATTGGTTCAGATATTTCATACTAAATATTTTATAGCAATACTTGAAATTCCAATTTTAGTAATCAATTCATTTCTTCTTGATTTGAGTGATCAAGTTTTTTGAAGACAGTTTTTTCCTATGTAATATTAATTATCCTGATTAATCTACTTTGAACTATGGATGAGATAAAATTTCACTTACAGTTTCACTTATCATGGAATTTCAACTCAACACTCATTCATATAATACACATCTTTGTAAAAAATTGATTTTGAAGTTAATCAAATTCTTCCTTCTTTCCCATATTTTTTTTAATAAGATAGAGAAATATAAATCCAAAAAGCTTTTTACAAAAAACGAATTCCTGCTAAAAATATGTCTTTTTCAATTTAAAATTATTAGCGAAATTCTCAATGAGGAGCTGCATTTTTATTGGAAACTTGTAAAGGTATAGATAGGATAGTGAATGACAGTGTGTGTGTGTGTGATTTGAATTTTTTGGCTTTGGGAGAACCAATTAGCCAGACTGTTTTAATAAAAACTATTTGAAAGTAACATTGAGTAGTAGCTCAGATTGTTTTTTCCCTCTTTTTTGCTTTTTGAATTTTCATTTCGGTTTTCTTTGTTTTTGCATTTTCATTGCTATTTATTTTTGTTTGTCTTTTTTCTTTTTAAATAAGTGTTTTTTTCTTAATTTGTTTTACGCATTTTCTTTCCCTGAATTTTTTTTATTATATTTTATATAGATTTTTCCCCTTTTCAATCCATTTGTACATAATATGATTCAATTTACGTTTACATTTGAATATATTGTTAGTAGTACTATAACTATATTTACAATCAATCATTCATTCTTTAATTTTGCATCTTATTAGATGATTGTATAATTTGTATATATTTCTGTTGTTTAAAGTTAACATACAATTCAAGTTTATTGGAAAAAAGATATGAAATTTCAATTCAGAGTAAAGGGTATTTATACTGTGAAACATAGACAGTTTGAGAAAAAAACGTAGTGTCAAAAATACACAAATATTGATTAATTATTAATAATGATAATGAGCATATCATCATAATAGGTCAATGAGTTTAACTTGATTTTTGAAAGAATATATTGATAAATCAATAACACAATTATTTTCTAGCCTAAGCATCCCAGTAACAAACTCATTCAAGACATAACTAGTACCATGGTATAGAGCTTTAAACAACGCAGACACTCTGGTTCTGTCAGCAGCAGCCGGCACTTGTGAAGATCACTGCACTGACACCTGTCAGATATAATCCAACGCCCTTCGTGGTATTAGACAGGGGAGTAGTTGTTTTCTGATAGGTGTCAGTCCATTAACCTACAGTATAGGGAGTTGAGAGGGACCTGAACGAATTGTTCCTTTAGATGATTTGATTTATAGCCAATCTTCAAGTATGCCCACTGACTATATGTGAAAAGTATATATTTGTAATTAAAACAATTGTTATTCTATTAATGGATGTTTGGCCCTATTCAAGAAATGAAATTTCCATAAGTAAATAAAACATTTATTATGCTTACGTACTACATTACATAAATTTGAATGTCTATAGTTTTGAAAATAAAATCTACAGTCAATAAACTGAGACAAATAATAAATAAAATTAATTAGATCACTTTCTGTTATGAAGAAACCCTAATACCTAACAAATTATACATACCTTGATCACATGCTATAGATCGTCTGAAAACTTTAAGTCCAATCATGTGTATAAATTTTCCGAAACATCTCGATTAACATTATTAAAAGACTCAGCCAATTTTCAACATTACACTCATTCTAACGGTAAAATGAATGTACACATAGAAAAGGAAATGTCAACTATCCAAAAAACGCATACTAAAATGTTAGAAATAGTTCTGATAGGACAGAGATATTGAACTTGAATAATGAGTTTTACTTTCTTATCAATTTTAGATAAAATGTTCATAAAATATCCAAACATTTCAAAAGGAATGTAGAAAAAAAGAAACGAATTGAAAATCGCTCATTTCACAATAAATTACCTTTCGAATACTCAATCATGAATTTTTCCTATATATCGAATAATGTAGGAAAAATGTTCCCGCTCTTTTCTTATTAGCTGTAGTACAACATTATTTTTAACGCTTTGTAAAACATCGAAATGAATAAATTTACTTTTGTTAGGGCGAATAAAGAAAGTCGTGAGGTGAAAGTGAGTATAAATATCTCTAAATGAAAATACTTTTCCGAAACTCTTCCCTACAGGAAACAGAATCAAATTGAAAAGCCGATAAATTTAAACACGACAAGCATTTTCCTTCACCTATTTGCACCAACATTTCACCCTAATCAAGAGTCACCTCTTCCATATATTTTAATACTAACGCTAAGCAAATCGTATGCTCTTAGTTCAATCGTTGCGTTGCAGGTATGCGTTTCTTGCCGCGCCTCCTTCCGCCTCCTTGAGTGCTCAACCAGTGCTCATAATGCCTCTCGTTCGCTAACCAATCTTGATATTTGTACCACCACTCTTCCCATTTGACGTAATCATCCAGAGTCAGATCTCTTAAATAACCAAGGTCTTTGTAATATTGATAACGAACTCTAACGTCGTCCCAGGCTGCCGTTCTTGACTGGCTAGAAGACATGAGTTTGTCAGGGAAATGACCCGATGGCACTGGTGACAAGCTGTAAAAAAATTAAATATGAATATGTTTTTCCATTTTCATTTCATTTTGTTTGTTTCGAAATAGACCATAAATTTGTACTATTACTTGTTGAGTAAACAGAAGAACTAAATTTGTATGATTATCCACAGAGAGTAATAAACCCTCACAAGACAAACTAATTTAATAAGTTTTGAATTATTTGTGGAAGTAAAGGGATGGTTTAAAAGGTGAGTAAATATGAACATTTTTATCAATAATAATAATAATAATATAATGGAGACCTTGGCTTATCAAAGCGCCTGACGTTCGCTTTTTTCAGGTCGAGTGGGCTGAAGTTGGAAACTGAGGGGTTCATCATGGCTTACCAGGATGGTGTCTTCAACACCTTAGTCTACCTCAGTCGCGTGATGGGTATAGAGGTTCCTGACACAAGGTGCAGGGACTGCCGCGAGGCGCCCGAGACCCTAATGCACTTGCTATCAGTATGTCCAGCATATGCTGTCTCGGCCTATATCCATAGACATAACGCGGCCCTCAGAGTGCTATATTACCATCTACGACACTCTTACGGTATTGACGAGACACCGGTGTTGCCCTACGCTCCGGGGGATATTGAATCCGTTGTGGGGAACGAGAAGTGCCAAATTTATTGGAACTATTCGTTCTCCACCCTCGTGGAGTTTTCAGCTCCTGGCGAGACAAATATTGCCAGAAAAGGGGAGAGAAAACGGATAAAATATCGAGATTTTCTCTTCGAACTCTGCAGACTCTATCCAGATCACTCTGTCAAGATGGTTGTTCTGATTATTGGAGTCCTTGGTGAAATGATGCCCTCTATACTCTTGAATGTCTGCCTTAGTGCTTGCCGCACTAAGGCAGACATCTTAGTCGAACAGATGCAGAAGGCTGTCTTTCTTGGCTCACTGCGCTTGCTCAGGGCACATGATTCTCGGACCCAATCATCACTTAACCCACGGTGTGGGGAATGGTCATTGGTAGATAATGCTGGCGCGCCCTCCCAAATGTATCGGGGCTTCGGGGGATAGGGCCTGACCAGCACACACTATGGTGAAAAAAAAAAACAAGAAAGGCTGGACATATTTTCATGATTTTTGTGTTTTTGGATTTGTCTTCGTTGGGAATATGATAGAAAGTATCGAAAACTTATATTTTACCAATTAGAATAATAATGGTAAAAGAACTCAAGAACGGCTTGACTGATTTTTATGATTTTAGTGTTTTTGGATTTGTCTTCATTGGGAATACGATAATAAGTATTGAAAACTTATATTTCATCAATTAGAATAATAATAATAATAAAAGGACTTAAGAACAGCTGGACTTATTTTTATGATTTTTGTGTTTTTGGATTTGTATTCGTTGGGAATAGGATAATAAGTATTGAAAAATTATATTTCATCAGTTAGAATAACAATAATAATGATAAAAGAACTCAAGAACAGTTGAACCCCCTTTTTATGAATTTTGTGTTTTTATATTTGTCTTCGACGGGAATAGGATAATAAGTATTGAAAAATTACATATCATCAATTAGAATAATAATAATAATGATAAAATAACTCAAGAACGGCTAGACCAATTTTTATGATTTTGGATTTGTTTTCATCAGGAATAGGATAATAAGTAATAAAATGTGATATTTTATCAATTAAAATTTTAATAAAAGGATTCAAGAACGGCTAGACCCATTTTCACGAATCTTGTATTTTTGGATTTGTCTTCTTCAGGAATGGAATATTCAAATATATTTCATCAATAAAAATAATAATAATGAAAGAGGCAAAACATCAGTGATAATAGTGACTATTTATAATGAAAAGCAAATGACTGCTCACATTCATACCTGACATTTTCAGGTAAATTCATTCATTAAAAAGTAGGCATATGAGTAGGTAATATATTAGAGTATCAAATGGTTGTAATTTAGAAGTACCTTTTAGTTTAAACCTTTATAGTGAAAATCATTCAATAAACTGTATTAATTAGTTTATTTAGAATTGATATAACGTGTTACTTTGCATTGTAATTTATTGTCACAAGTTTTAACTTCTGAGAGTTCTCATTCACAGGAAACGACATTTAGTTGGAAAAACAGATTTCAACAGATTTTTCAGTAGGAAGAAACACTAGAATTGAGATAATGTGCTACTATGCATTGTAATTTATTGTCAATATATCGCACAAGTTTCAGATTTTGGTAGATTTTTCAATAGGCATATATATCGAAATACAAAATAGTTAAAAAATGTTTCTTATGTGACTTGGATACTGTGCAATGATGAAACTTTCAATAATTGTTCACTGAAGTTGGTTTTTGATAAAAAAATTACTGGAATTGCAATGAAGTTACAACTTGATTTTATTGGTTATCATAACTCGTATAATAAAAAGTTACTGTTTTTGGAAATAATTACAATGAATACTCAATTTAATGATTTTAGAGTGGAGAATACAGAAAGTAATATATGATTCTTCTAGATTAGTATACAATAGTATGAATATCTGCAATATACTGTTTGTAAAAATTTGCATTTCTGAATTTGACAAACAGCTTTTCATAATTTCTCCAAATTTTTTTTGTTAAGTGAATATACCAAAAAAATATATGAATTTTGCAACTGTCTGTAATGTTATTTATGACGATATTTCCATTCAATGATATAAATAAAACATTTCGTAAAAATGATAAATACTATCTCAAGTCTGCCGACAGTTGCTTTAAAAAAGCTCAGTATTTATTAGTCTGTTGCTGTCCTTCTCAATCACACGAGCAGCTACAATCATTGCACGAACCCCAAAATTGAGTTCCTTATCATAGGTGATCTTGATCATGCCTAAATAGAGTGTTAATGATCACGAAGAGTAAAATAACCAGAGATATATAGCCAGATGATGTCAGTAATATTTGGTAAATACAGGATAGAGCCTAGAAGCAACCCTTGCGAACCACTGATTTTATATCATTTAATTTGGACCTGAACCATAACTTATAAAGCTATATTGAGGAAATATTTGCAACTGAACATTGCCTTACACATTCAAAAGCGAGTAGAGAAAAAAATCTCTGTCAAATTATTCTTTATATATCATACAAAAAGTAAAGATTTTTTGAAAACTATCATTTATAATGATTTGTTTGTGCTAAGCTCCTTTCTCTGAATTATGGAAAATATGCAACAATATATTGAACTCTAATGAATGGTTAGTCAGGTTATATTAGTAATATCTCATCGATTTCATCAGCCACTAATGTTGAGGTCGAGTAGCAATCTGCAACATCTATTCATATTTAGATTCTTGATTTTTTTCAAAACACAAACACATTATTATTTGAGAATATGAAATTCGTGAAAGATAGAACTTGAGCCTCCGATATAAATCCAAGGAAGCACTGCTGCCAAACACCAGAACTGCAACACTCTACACACTACATAATTCTTTCAAGAAGGATATCATTATACAGTTGAATATCATCTGAAGAGTGTATTGCAGTTAAATAGTTAGATATTACTAATAAAGTATCTTTCTATGTTCATGATGATCTACCACGTAGTAACGGCTACATCCGTCAATTCATCAACAATATATATCTTTTTTGAATATAAATATTTTTGTTAGGCAATTATTTGAATGTCTTCAAAATAAAATTCTTCTGATAAACTTTGAAAATCTTGAGACAAGCCAAAAAAGTAAGTTTCACTAGTACCTAACTTGCTGAAATCAAAGTCAGAATTGTACTTGAAGACGTGACAAAAATACAAGAATTAAAATATACTAACAAAAATAATTAAAATTCTACAGAATATCAGAAAAAACATTGAAAATACATGGAAACAACATAGAGCTAACCTATACCTCCTAGGCGAGCTTCCATAAAGAAATTCATCCTCTTCTACTAGAACTTTCATATTGCTTCCAGTCTTTGTTATTCTCATGTTTTCCATGTCTCGTTTTTCTCTGTCTGCACTCCACTGAGCTATTTTACCAAATCTCTCCGACAAGGTAAGACTGGTTGTGGCAACTATAGGTGCGGGTATTTGGGATGCACTATCCTCAGAACCTGAAGATTCCACGCCGGGGGATCCAGGTCTCTTTGCAGTACGTTCTTTCTTTACTCTCTTTAATAACATCTGGAAAATATTGAAATTTTAATAGTGCAGAAATAAAATTAACTTTCATATTGTAAGTAAAATGAATGGAAAGCTTTACAATCAGACACATAACTCGGGAGAAAGAATAATACAATGATCTTTGTCACTTTTTATGAAAAAACCACAATGAAATATAATAAGTGCAGTTGCTGCTATCCTCGGGCAATGATATTTGCAGTTTTGGTCAGTATCAAGTTAGTTAGAGTGAGTGGTTCTTTCTGCTCTTTCAATCAACATCTGTGTGAAGGTTGGTTCCAATCTAACCGTAGAATTTTGGATTTGTTAAAAAAAAACAGGTTTTCTAGACCATTGCCAACTTGAAAATGGTAAGATTTACAAGGTTGGTTGAATTAAGAGGTGTCTATGTGGGAAAACAATAAAAAATAACTGTTCAGATTGCGACTATGAAATGCTGTTTTTAAAATATTCATAAATAACTAAAATTGACAAATTTTGTTATATAATTCGAAATGGATGCCACCGCCTCCATTTTGAATTATATTGAAATAAGGCAGATATACTTTTTGTATTGTTTAGGCAAGCAGGAAATTCTGATTTGATCAACCTTGTGAGTGTTACAATTTCTGTTACCATTATCAAACCTATAAAGACGAATTTTTATTACAAAATATGACATAATATTGCCAATTGAAATTTCAAAAGTATGATAAAACTTGAAGAATGTCACTCAATCATTGAATGAACAATGCTTATCAAGTTTCAAAAATGATATGTGGTGTATGCAAATTAGGTGCGTTTTAAAACTCAAATGATTTGTTTTCAGTATACAAAATACTGAACATACAAATACAGAACATTTTCCGTGATGTATTTCATTACGGACGATGAACTTCGCCCTTTATTTCAGTTGTAATTTGAATATATAAGTTATGTTGTGTTTTTTATTTTGGTTATGAAATAATAAAGGTGATATTATTATTATATATTTGTGAAAAAAATTGCCTCAAGAATTATTTATATTCTTCATTACTTGTATTATAAACATGCATTCTCATTTCAACATTCATCGCCATTAATATTAACGTTTTGAATGTGACACTTACTATCTGTAAATGCTTTCAATGTGTATAATTAAAGATAGGGAACTACAACTACTTCTGGATGACAAACTATCCAGAAGTAATTGTAGTTCTCTTTTATGAAGAATTAAAAAAAAAAGGTATCCATTTCAATTGATGGGTCAAAAAAAAAAAAACGGAATATACCACTAGATGACCTTTTTTGAAGACTAATATGAGATCAACTAAAATTCGAGAGTTGCTGACCAACTTGGGCGGTAAAAACTATTTTGGAAAAAAAAAATTTCAAGTCACTGCAGTTTTCCTGGTCTAAGGTTTTTCCTCGAATATATATTGAGGAAACCAGGTATAAGTTAGAATATGGGATGAAGAAAATGACTTTTTTCGTAAACTATACCTCATGATTTGATCTTCACAAATTTTGTTTGAAAAATATATCACGACATGTTTTGCTAACACAATAGCTTTATCAAAAGTGATTTGATAATTTAAATATGAAATTACTATGGATCTTCATCAAGTAACGGCCGAATCAATAAGAAAAAAAAATTTTTGTTTGTTTTCTAATAAGTTTTTTATTTGTTTGTTTAAGAAACGGTTTGTTAAACCGAAACCGGTCGTAATATATAAAAAGTTAGTAGAAATCAAACAAAAGTTATTCTTTTTATCCTATATTCACTATGAATTTATACAAAATAAATAGGTCACCAATCGAACAAGATAAGTTAGGATGTTTATGGAGTTTAGTTGGGTCAGATACACATGAAAATAAGGCTATTAAATTACCAATGTGGTTCTGAATTGCATATCTGATCAATTTACATTTGGGAAATTTTCATACACCTTTCGTCATGTATCAACAGTCCATTTTTGTGTCTATCAACACTTACTCAGCATCCCCCTTATTTTAAAAAGTTCTCTTACCGGTTGTAAAGTGTTTTTGTCAGCAGGTTTCTTCACAGCACCGAATTTGGCATTCGGTTTCACTCCTCTCACGTTTATAATCTCTCCAGTGCTGCCTCTTGGCCTTGGTGGAGGGGGTTGCCTTCTCGGATCTGTTGGTCTATCTGACGGACTTGGTTTAGGTAATCTTCTCGAAGCTGGGGGTGGGGTAGTTGGTTTTGCTATACGTCTCGGAGGGGAAGGAGATGGGGGACGTGGTCGAGCTCGGGGTTTGGGCGGGTTAGGGGCAACTTTGACGGGTGGCTTACGCACGCGTTTCGGAGACAAGGATCGTGATCTACAAAAAAAGGAATAAGAACAATTTCAGTCATGAGATTTGTTGTAAAAATAATAAACCTTTAATCAAATCAGTTTGTTCATTCAAAGGACCCATTAGGGTATAGAACATGTCAGGATATAATGTTTGAGTACATGTATATAAATATAATAAAGACTACGTACATAACTACAAAACAACGAAAATGAACAGCAATATAAAATATTTGATTAAGAAGTTATATTAAAAATTCATCAATGTTATAAAATGAATTTTCTTTCAAAAAGCGTTTTTATGGAGTTTCGAAATTTGAAATGTGTGGCTGAATTTTAATGCCAGTGGATAATTGATTGTAAACCTGTACACCTGTTGAGAGTGGTCCATTTGATGTTCTTTAGAGATTGTTATGATTTGGATAGATTAGCTGATTGTTTCTAGTTTTGTACACATGCATGTCCGAATACCTGGGAAGAGTGTTTTTCATTTTATGAATGTAGCAGGCAACTTCCATGATATAAAGACAGGCCAGAGTAACAATGGTTTGCATGACTTCCTGGGTGATTTTTTATAGTTCTTATGGCTTTTTTCTGAACAAGAAATAGATGCTGTGCAGTTTTCCCATAGTAAAATGTCATAAAGTAGAATAGACTGGAATTCAGCAAAGTAGAAAATTTTCAAACTGCCGATATCAACCACATTCCGCATACATCGAATTTGATATATTTTTGTATTTAATTTTTTTATAGTTGTTGTGATATGCTCATTCCAGCTAAGATTGTCCTCCACGGTTATCCGATATTTAAATAATTCAATTTAATTGAGAGTGTATTGTTTATTTAGTACAAAAACGAGTTTCCGTTGGCTGGGAGAAAAAATCATAGCTAATGCAATTCATAGCCAAGGCTAAACTATGAGTTAAACATGAATACAGCGAAAAATCACAAAAAAATTGTACGCCATTTCAACATATGACAATTCGAAGTGGTTTTTAATGCAGAGAAATGTTGCAATGAGAAAATATTGCGTTGTGCTGCAACATTTCCATGTTTGTAGTACAAACTCGTTATATAAATCAGCTCTTGAAGCGTATACACTATTTTTTTTGAGTCAAAGATAATAAATGAAATAGACATAAATATCTACAACTTCAGAAATCATTATATGATGAAATATATGACCATATTGTGTACTTAAACAAGAAATTACCCACTTTGAGTTTTTTTTTTCTGTTATTTTCATCATTACCATTTAATAGTGTTTAGTTTGAATATATAAAATAGTGCAATTGTGTGTTCACCTTCTAGTTTGACAATGAATAAAAATTTGATAGAGAATTGATAGAGACCTTTAAAATAACGTGTCACTCGACTATTATTTACATTAGAAATTTTTGACAAAGGGTTGTGGGAAATAGGTTTCTGATAAGGAGTTTATTTTTACGAAGAGATCAAAACTAAAGCTGAAATATTTCACGACTTTTTCACAGTCTCAATATCAAATGATTTATTCAGGAAGGCTCGTTTCAACAGGAATGCATTATAATAGTCAATGTAGGTGTTATATTTCAGAATATACATATTTTACATTGTTTGTTTCACTTGGCGATTGAATCTATTCTATTATAATTGATGGAATATAAACACACATAACTCACCTGGATCTGGCGTTCCTGTGCGCCTTGGGCGAACACACGGAACACGAATCGTCCGAACAACTGCTGATAGAGCTATTTGAGATCGAGCGTCGCTTCACGTTGTGCCTTGACGAAGGGGGCTCGCGGGGTGACCGAGGTCTCATTAACGGTCTCGACGACCGCGCCGACGACGGGGGAGGCGATCTCCTGCCCCCTCCGACTACCGGCGATCTGTAGCTGCCAGGAGGCGAGCGCCTTCGAGGAGGCGGCGACGACGACCTGCTGCTACGCGGCGGCGGCGACCTTGGCGATCGTGGCGACCTCGCGCGGCCGTACGGAGAAGAGCGACGCATCGGAGGCGATCGGGGGGAGCGGCGGCCGAAGTATGGGGAAGTGGGGGAACGCGATCGGCTGCGTTTGTCGCCGGACGAAGGCGAGGAAGAACCACCGCCGTCGATGTAGAGCGACTTATAACCGCTGTGGCGCCACCTGGAACAAATACAAAATAAATGCAATTCTGTTCTCATTTTTCTCGTTTCAGAAAATCACCAAAAGTAGTTCAGATCTGTATGTAAAAATATTTCGCAACACCATGCACTCTGCTGCCCCCTGCCTGTATTTTATTATATTACCAAAATCTAGTGTTTTTATAACATGCAAAATTTATTTGATTCAGAATTCCTTTTAAAACGGTCTTTCATTTCTGACATAACATTTGATTGCCTACTTCATATCAACATAAATGGGTTTTTTGAAATTTATGATAATTTGTGTTAGCCTACAATAAATGTCTTTTAATTAATATTTCCTCAATAAAAGTATGGATTTTACTGATGCTTTGCAACTCTTCATGATCTCTTGCAACCAACACTTTGAGAAACACTGATCTAGTTTATATGCTTTATAATAACCTACCTCAAGAATATAAAAACCTTAATTTGCCACTTATTATTATAAGTCTAAAAAAATATTTCCGGAGACGTTGTTTCTACTCTATAGATGAATATTTGACTGACATAAATCTTCTTCAAATCAATTGATTTCTCCTTACTTTGGCTATCATGTAAATGTGTCAAACTGTTACCTCTATGAAGTTATTTCATCATGCAACTTTCAGACACAAAATGAAGGAAAAAGCCCTCTCGAAACAACTACTTTCATATGAACATCATAGTACACAAAAGAAAAAATACTTTCCAAACGACCTTTATATTATTTGACTCAAGCTTTATTTTATTTTTTATTAAGTAGGTAAGCCTAATATACAAAAAAAGAAAAATTACAAATTCATAAATATCTCACGACATTAACTATGTAAATATAATAACATTTAAAAGTACCTTTCAAGGAAAACCAAATATACATACATATCTATAGATTGTTAGGTTAGTTTTTAATTTTTCAAGTAGAATATTTCGATTAATTGTTTCAAATGCCCTTTTAAGGTCGAGAAATGTCGCAACAATGTACTGATTTCTATCAATTGTATTTTTTTTTCCACTCCATTCAGTTATTAAAAATTGTAGAGACGTTTCACATGGGTGTCCAGCTCTAAAACCTGATTGGTTGCCTATAAACAATTTATTGGTATTAATTAACTGAATTAATTAAGTGTAGTCATAGTTTGTGAAACGAATTTCTCAATAATTAAAGATAGGCAAATACATGATGAGAACTTTTTGCTGTTACAAAATCTGGAATAACAAAAGAACTGAAGAACACACAAATGAAGTATGGGCAACAACTTGTGTACAATAAATATTGTATTCTCCGAGGTTCCCCAAGGTAAACACTGTGGTCTGTTATCATTCAACATTTTGATCCACAATCTTATAAGTAACAAACTCAAAGGGGTTACTGTTTGCTGATGATTTCAATTTGTGTCGAGAAATTCGTTTGTCCCTAAATTGCTTTACTCTTCAGAATGATTTGACTCTCTTGATAGACTGGTGCAGAAAAATTTGCCTAGAGCTGAGTTTAGATAAGTCTAGTTATAAGTTTTAATCTTCGCTAGTCATCCCTAAATTTACCTTTAGCAGCTGCTTCAATCTCTGATTAAGTAGAAGTGTTTGCTTCAAGTTATTTATGAAGAGACTAGTCAATTCAAAAAAGAAAGCATATTTTTCAAATGGTAGTGCATCTTATAAAATAGAATTATCAAAAGTGAAGACAATATATTTGGATCCAAGGTAAATTTTTAATACTATTAAAAATTTGTCATACTATTAGTTCATATCTACATTAATAAAAATCTATCTGATATACCCCCAAAAACTCTATTCAAAATGTGAAAAAACGCAGAAGCAGTTCTTAAGGTACAGTGGCCTTTTTATGAAATTATGTGATGGAATAAGTCGATACTTCATGAAAATCCATGATAACGTATTTAGGTAACATTTTACTACAAGACTTTACATTGCAATACGCTTATACAATAACTTTTACAGGCATGTTCATACACAGTATTACTACATAATTTACGAAATGTTTTTATTTCCTGGGCATTTTTATAGTAGATTATGTATGAAATTCAGATAAATAAGATGGCCAAATAGTATGTTAATTTCATGTTTAAAACAAACATTTTAGGTGTTGTTTCCTTGATAACTATCAAACTTGGAAATGCCCAATAAATCCTACTTTTAGTCGGGATAAACTTTTAATGACTTTTCCTTTGACAAATTATCAGTAACTATATAAAACATTTTGTTTTTTTATCTACAGGGTCGTATTTTCAATAAATAAGGCAAACTAATAAAAAGATGAACAAATCAATATAACATTAGGTGAACATACATTGCAACAAAATCTAACTTAAAAAATGTTAAGTTGTATATTAGAATGTATAAATATGGTATTTACTGTTAGGGTATTTGATTTAATTACATTTCTTTATAATTGACGTTTTTTAAATACTAAAAAATTATCGCTACTTTGAGCAACTCCAGTTGACCATGTGTTTGAGTCAGAAGAAAATAAAACTAAATTATTAAATAATCAAAATTTTACTTCCTCAAAAAAATTGATGTAATATGAGTTTATGAAATTAGTCTTCAAAAATGATTCTGGCGAATTTTTAATCATAGCTATTGAAAATGTTTAGAGATTATTCACCTGTTTGGATCTTTAGCTTCAACTTCCAAAAGTTTTTTATCCCAAAATACGCCTGAATTTGGTGATTTTTGAGCCCTAGCCTTTTTCATAACATTATCAATTTCTCTTCTTCTGCCAGCAGGTAAACTAGGGTCTGAAAACAAACAGTTCTCTGTGAAAACATTGATATTTGAAAAAAATACCTTTTATTTTAGTTTGGAGCATATGTATGAGTATATCATTCATTTTGAGAAATTTTGTTTCCAATAAATTTAATCATTACATACCTAATTGATTGATTTTAGGCTTTGATGTTACTCTGAAGAGACATAAATAATAATTAATTATGGTTTTTTGATAGGAAAGTGCCAAACAAGTTGCCACTCTGAAATAATATGAGTTCTTTCAAATTTAAAATATTTCACTTGGTTTAAAACTTTTTTTTTGTATTTACATTTATACATTTTTGGAACCTTTTCTTTATATTTACATTTATACTTTTTTATAACTTTTTCTATATCTACATTGTATTTCTTGGACTTGGTCAATAATATGCAAATCTTGTTGATTTACAAGTTAATTATATCAAAATTTGGATCTTGTATTTTTTCCAAGTATGAAACTTTATTTAACATTAGTGTCAGTTGTCATGTTAATTAGAGAAAAGAAAATCCGGACTGGTAAGCTGTGGTCAAATGAAACTTGTGTAGCCTTTATGTTTTCAATTTTGTAGGTCAGATTTTCAATTCAATTTAACAATATAAGAATATGGCAGAATTATTTCAATGACTACATTTATCTCATAGGCTTTGATTCACTCAAAATAGAATAAAAAATATATTTTTTTTTCAAAGCCCTAAATGAAATGTGACAAAGAGTTTCAGTGAACTTTTCTAGAATACAAAAGTTGTCGACATAAAGATAGTCATTTTATTTTTTATTGTTGATATCAAAAAGAAATACCTAATTCATTATTTCAATTGTACACCATTTTTTGCTATTGACTGCATATACCATATTAATAAGGCTAAGGAAGAAAATTCAAACTACGATCCATCAGTGTATCAGAGTATTTAAGTGATCTACATATTTCTTATGAGCTTGAAAATTGATTAACGTTCATACACATTCTATATTTAAAGAGCATTTCTCCGCTTCCATCAAGTTATGACTCCTCAGAATTTTCTTGTATAACCTAGATTCCAATTATGTTGCATAAAGAGGCGGAATTTCTACTTCAAAAATTTTAGAGCAAGTTTAGCTCCAAAACACGGAGACTGATTAAGGTCAACTTCATACCGAAACCAATGGAAATTAATTTGTGTCTGGACATGACGTTATCCACTGAAAGATACCAAATTGAAAAAAAAAAAGGAGGTTATTAAGAAGAATGCCGCAAGGGTCTACATTAGGGACACTTCTGTTTTCAATTTATATCAGCAGCTTGCCATATCTGATGAACTCCACAATAGGATATTAGAATGAATCAATTCTGAAAGAACAAAAAACAGGAACACTCTCTTTTGAAATAAACTCTAATCAAGATAACACATCTTCTAGTAAACAAACAAATGACAGTATAGATAGGAGACCATAATGGGCATAAAAGTAATAGTCTATACAGATAAATTCAGTCATCCTAGTCCAGCTCAAATAAAGTGAGGGGTCGCAGATCCTGAACATCCTAAAAAATAGATTACAGAATAAGTGCTAAACATAACCCTTCCAAATTGACCACTTTAACGTTCTGATGATACCAAGATAGAGGAATTAGGAGCTCTTAAAACTTTGAAGTGAACATTTTTTGTGTTTTTACGTTTTTTTATATATTTCAAGCGAAACAGAATAGACAATACCAACTTATAATTATACTCGAATACTCTCGACACATCAAATTGAATAAAATTATAATTTTTGTTGTTTTGGAGTTTTTTATCAAATTTAGTAACTGAAAGCTTTTCAGAACTCCAATTATACAAATTCAATTTCATTATAGTTCAAATGCATGTTTGCGATGCTTTGCTAACTCTTCCATTTTTGGAAACAGTTACAAACAATACTTTAGAATCCTCTATACCAACAACATGAGCATGTGAATACAAACATGCTTTTTGAAGCATCAGATTTACTTTGTGAATTTTTTCTCCAATATTCTTTCAATTACAAGCTGATTTCTTCCCCTTTTAATGTTGTATGTAGCAATACCTACATGGTTGTTGTATCCCCCATTCAAAGCTAATTCATTGGTTCTTCAAATGAGGCACTGCACTTCTCCAAATTGGTGGAACGATACAACTTCAATTATAATTTCTTTTTGAAATCTATCACTACAGAAACTCATCTGGCAATACCAAACCATTTTATTAGCAGCAAACTTTTTTATTAAATTGAATAGATATACATAAACCTCAGTAATCTAGTAAGTACTATAGTAAATAACAGTTACATTTTTGTCTACGGTAGTAATGAATCCAATTGAAAAATAATATTTCACTTGATACATCTGATACACAATCGTTACAATGTTATATTCAGCACTAACGATTGTTAGAATTTGGAAAAATGAATAATTTCTTAGGAACGACCTGAAAAAATAATGCTGAGAATACCTTGAAATTAGTAATTCGTTAAGGAAATTATAATTGCAGTGGAAAACCAAAACAACTCAAAATGAATGCTTATCAAACAGGTCTACTATTGAAAATTTGTCTATATGGCTGTCAAATTATTATTATTATACCTGTAATTCGAACTGCTTGAGGTTTTGTGTCCATTCTAAGTTTGGCAGGCAAAATTTTCTTATCTCTACTTCGACTTCTCCTTCTCGAAGACATTCTATTAAATGTCCGTTTCTGTCAATCGACTTGTATTTTTCTTAAAATAAAATATCAATGTCTGTATTAGTGAAAATGTTTTACTGAATTAGGTATATTTGTCTGAATGAGTGAAAATGTTTTAGCGAATTAGGTATATTTGGAGAAGTGAAAATAAAAAAAAATGGATTGCCATGTTAATTATATTGAAAAGTTAAAAGGCAATTATTATTACGAAAAATCTGTGTTTTTTTCCTTTGTTATCTGTAATTTTGAACTCCTTCATAATAAGAACAGAAATTCAGAACAGAAATTCAGTTTCAGATATCTTTACTAATCTGAGTTAATCACATATTTTGTTTTAATTGTACTCTAATTTGTATACGTTCTGAATAAAGTTATTATTTTACAGTTGACATTTTTGGTAATAAATCAGTTCACCAACCGCTGCAAAACAAAGCAAAATCAATATATTTGAATATTCTAAATGTTTTGTTCTACAAACATAACCCAATTTGTCTAATAAAATTAAGTTCATGGAAGACTTATAACTTTTTCCATTGTTAAACCAGTGCACACTCAGAGTTACTATGTTCTCTTTACTCATATACTAGTACACGTTCCTATACTGGACGTGTACTAATTTTACCAATTATGGATAAAGAAAAAAATTAATTTGAAAATGGACCATCAAGACACATTGAAATGTTACTAACAGCAGAATCATACAATTTCCTTTCATTTCTGCCAAAGTAGGTAATTGACTCCTCGAATAATTAAAACTGTGATGCATTATTTTAAATTTAAAGTTTGTTGAACACGTCTGTTTATTCATGTTAAGCTAGCAGAACCACTTAGAAGTTTAACATTTCTTTTTAGGTTCTAATTTTGAGATAATTTTGTTCTTAATTCTGGAATTTTTTCCTTTTTATTTGGAAATATTGTCAGTTCTGATATATTACCAATTAACCAGCAAAACCCAAACAAAAAAATATTTTTTTCGAATCAAACTAAGCCATAATTCTTGGATCCTATTTCAGCCAATTTGCTATGTATTGTAAAATGTGTATCATTGATTTCGTTCAACAGCGTTGATTTCCTTGAAATGTTGTGGATTGAAACTATTTTCTTTCATTTCAATTATAATGACACTAATAAGACTAGTAAATTACATTGTTAATCAATGATGGTTGATATAGAAGAAGGGTTGGAAATGGGTAGAAGGACCCACTATTTTATTCAAAAAATTCAATACATAGAAAACTGGCGATGGGTGGAAACTTATGTCTAAAAAGGAGATTTTCATTTGTAAATGGTTTTGGTAGTTTAACATGAGATATTTATTACATAAGATATGCCGACTACTCTAGGACAATTCTAAAACATGCACTTTTCTCAATCACCAAATATGCAATACTCTTTATTGACATACGTTTCATCAACCAAGTTGGCGTCTTCAGGAGATGAAGACACTATCTCCTGAAGACGCCAATTTGGTTGGGGAAACATGCATTGCATTTCTGCTGATTGGGAAAAGTGTTTTGTTTTATTATATACCAGAGGTTCCAGTTGAACATTTCATTACTCTAGGACAGATGAATAATTCTATTACTGTAATCAGTTGTTATAGACAGTGCCCAAATTAAAAACTATATAACCATAATAACCAATGGTAAAACTCACTTCAATTCATGAAAAACTTTTCAAATGGTCGCTCAGAAATGGTACTGCTCAATTTTTCAAATTCTTTCCAATGTTTGCCACATTTCAGATTGGAAATTCGCGAAGATCAACAAACGGCGCTAAAAGCACGAAACGCGTTAGTAGACATCGGATAAGCCACCACATTGCTACACCGACACCAAAGACAATGTGGTTCAGAACGAATCTCGAACGAAACATTACTGATGCTGGTTAGTAAATACTTAATAATCTAATGTTACCATTCACCAATTCATTCAACATGCACACAATCACTCTCTATAAATACTACCAGTAATATGACCTGGATCTAAATTTATGAAAAAAGATTCTAATATGGGAACAAGGAGGTAACCGCTTTACCGTCTCACGATTAACCGACGCGAATCAATATTAAATATACAATAGGTCACGAGAAAGAGAAAGTCTCACTAAAGTAAAATGTAATGTCCAAATCAATAAAAATAGTTCGCACCATAAGGACACAAAATATACACAATCACAGGGGGTCACTGAAGTACCAATGAATTACGGACACTGCCACTGCACAACGAGAATTTTAATAAACGAACCGAATCTAAAATAAACTGCAATTTCGAAAATTGCCTTCAACAAAGATCTGACCACGGCGCGACGAAATGGAGAACGAGATCGACAAAATCAATATACACATAACACGTCTTAAACACTACGATTCACTTACTTTTCAAAAACTAAATACAACAATCGCCCTTAAAAACGATTTTCTGAATTCTGCGAGAACGTTCACAAGTATTCGAAAAATTTTCAATGGATTATTCAATAAATCTACCACAACGAAACCCCAACTACGACACTCAAACGTCTGACATTTTTTCTGTGCTGCGCCGTACAATAGAATAGGGAGACGCGCAGTAGTTTATTTCCGCAAGTCTACAAAGGTAACGTATATACACGTCAAAAGGATAGCCAAGTTTGTTGATGTTCACTGCTCCAAACATAAAACGCACTTTCAGTTACACCACTAGCAATGCTATTGAGTGGTAAAGCTAATTTTCAATCATTTTTTTCTATACAAATTTAACGTTAATATATTAGATATATAATTTCTCAATAAGAAACATGTTCCACCTCAATATTTTATTCATAAAAATAAAAAAAAGAAATTATACAAAAAGAGATTCACTGAACTTAACTAGTACCATTCTCATTGATAAGACCCATGTTTGGAATACAAATTACTATACTGTCTTTAAAATATAATTGGAAATTCGATTGAATTAATATTTATTTGAAACTAAATCATTTTTCAAATGTTAAAGGTCAAATATCTCGGAACGTTCTGGATAATTGATATGACCACGGTTCGTATTTACGAACTCATGAAAATCTCATCTGATATGGTATTTTGATGACTTTGCAACAATTTCGAATCTTCAGTTTTTGTTACATTTAGTGTGGGCTTAATTGAGTTACAGATTGAATTTTATTGCTTGCACTGTTTACCTTTAGTAAATCCGCCTGTCATCATCCTCATGATAATTACGTGAGCCCATTGATCCATTAGGGATGATACAAGAATGATGTGGCCTCTAGGCGATGGTCTATTAGCATTCTACTATGGTCACGTTAAGAAGATTTAGCCTTTAGCCTTCTTACAGAGTAACCTTAAAATGAAATAGAGATAAATTCTTAAATATTCCATCCTTGTTATCAAAGAAACCAAAATAAATATTAAGGTCCACTTGTATAGGTTGAGTTTAAACCAAAAGTGTTAGTTAAACTTTGGTTTAACGAATAAAGTTCATTGTATAGGTGTTTGTGACTGCCATTCGGAGTTTAACTGTCAACTGATGGATGGAGGGGCAGTTAAACTAAAAGCGTCAGTTAAACACATGTTCGGATTGAATACTGATGTGTCAACTATTTGTAGTTACTTTATGTATTATAACCTATAAATATTTGACGCGTCCAGATATTTTCATGTTTTCATAATGGACATATTTGAAGATATATTATTTGAAGAGGAAGATGAGATAGATGTTATAAATATTGTGGAAAACTCAAGAAGACCACGACTTTTTCTACCGCGAATCGACACCATGGACATTTGGATAGACCAGGAATTTATCAGTAGGTTCAGGATGTCGAAAGCATCTGTAGGGGTATTAATTCAAGAAATTGGCCTAAATTTGCATAGGAATACGCCACAGTGACTTTTGTGAGTTTTTTTTTTTTCATTAAAACAATTAATAATAATGATACATTATCCTTGAGTGAGCGAGCCCATGTCACGGCTTCACTTTTCTTGGATTCCAGAATGTCCTTATGGATTTTCACCAGACGTGATATATCCTCCACTTCCTGCTTGGAAAAATTGGATGACCTCCTGTTAGTATGGCTCCCGCATTCCATTTTATTACAAAGTCAGATTATGAACTTATCAACAAATTGCATATGGCATTTACGTCAATGTCCGACGGCAGGTCAATTTCAATTCACTTGTCACTTGTCAATGTTGTCGTGTCTACGAGTCTTCAACTGGAAGATATACAAAAGATATTTTAGCATTTTATCTGTTTAAACCTGAGTTCAAATATAAGATTGAACCCAAGTTTAAACTAAACTATAAACGAGACCCATACAACCGGCCCTTAGTGAAAGAGGTGAAGCTACCAGAAAATGTAGAGAGTATTCCAAATGCACAGAGTATTCAAAATGTATTGTATTGAACGTGTAGTTGGGTAACATTTAAATTATTGAATTTTGAATTGAAAAAAAAAATTATCAGTAATATTTCATAACCGTATCAGTTTATAAGTGTGTTATCACAGTCACGGAATTCATGGCTGATGTGAAAGAAATAGTGACGAATGCGCGGTAGATGTGAATTTAAGGTTTTCACTGACGATATCATCAATTCGGAACAACCTATTAAATAAAAACATTTGAGTTACGGAGTTGAAAGAGAAATTGAAAAATATATTAATTATAGACCAGTGTTACTTACACTTCACATATAATGACAGAATGCCAATGTCATCAAAGAACAGTTATGTTACAAAAAATATTGAGTATAAATACTCAAGGTTAGTATCCTGGGACACAATGTTCTGTGCCTAGACAATATTACCACAGTCACCGTGCCACAGTCTAAAATCCAATATTCTGTGATACTATACCGGTCAACACATGATGAGAATCCTTTTATTTCAAAGAATTCTTAAAGAAAAAGTAGTCGTCCTCTTGCCTTGAAGTGAAAGAAATACATGTAGGGGAAACAATTTTTTACTTGAGGCTTTCAAAATTATTACTCCGATGTTTAGCCATTATTCATAACCCATCAAAACGGGATTTGAAATGTGTACTCTTGCATAATGGTTAGTTTTCTATCTATTATTATGAAGAAAAAACAATATCTTGCAATATCTATAGTTCTTGACATAATCGAGTATATGGAATTAACGTGAAGCTGGCCACAGACTTCTAACCGCATCTTGTGGCCTCTAAGTTAGAGTTCTGTGGTTGTGGCGTAGAAAAACTCTTACAATCAACAGCTTTGTTATGGTTCTATATTTCGAACTGGAACTGATGCGCATCGACGCCGTTGCAGTTACGGAACAATTCTTTAACAGTTCACAGAAGTAAAGAACCAAAACACTGAAATTATATGTTTCATCTTGCGTATGTTCCGTTAATCGCCCAGACTCACCGGACTGGTAACTACTTTTCAGTTTATGGTTAGCACCAACGAACGTTTTTTTCGGGACAATTTTATTCTATCAACTGTCACTTTGATTTGCTTTGGCGCGTTGACTTGATTTGTATACAAGATTCTTGGGTTACCTCAATTTTTATTTTAATAGATATAGCAATGTTTTTTTTTTGGAACGAATTACTCACCGAGAGTGATAGATCAAGTAGCGAAGAGGAAGATGGGTTGCGAGCTCGAGGTATCATGGATAATGTTTTGAGTATTATTAAATTCATTTGAATTTGAGGAATATCACAATGGTAATGTTTTACAGTGCCCCGACCTAGAGTCCGAAATTTTATGGAGGAAGTAGTGGATTTTTTAACAGACGTAGAATTTCGAGAAAACTTCAGGATGGACAGGGTCACTTTTAATCACATTTTGTCATTGATAATTGACAGAATATCGACAAATATTATAGATAAAGGTCAACATACTATTACCCCAAGAGTTCAACTCTGCTTAGCTTTATGGTATTTCGGAACACCAGATTCCTATAGGTACTTATTAATTAAATTACATAAATAAAAACGTCTACTGAATACTTTCCTCATAGATCCATCTGTGGACGATTCAACGTTGGCAAAGCCACTGCTTTGAGGACTGTAAGGCGAGTTGCAGAAGTTCTATTATATATAAGCCCAAATTTTATATTATGGCCCACGAATGATTATCTTGAGGAAGTAAAAAACGGATTTCAGCGAATGGGATTCCCCAACACAATTGGTGCCATAGATGGGACACACATAAAAATACCGAAACCCAAAAACCATGGGAATTCATATGTCAACCGAAAATCTTATCCCAGTATTATATTGCAGGTAATAAGTTATATTCCAGGAATCGTGTCCTGCGATAATAAAGTATCATTTCAACATTAAATGTTGCAGGCAGTCTGCGATAATACCCTGAAGTTAACCCACTGCTATGCAGGGGAAGTCGGGGCACACCATGATGCTAGCGTCTTAAGGAGAAGTGAAATTTGGAGTTTCATGACAGAGGATGGGAAATTTCCGAATGACTCCCATTTAATTGGTGACAAGACTTATCCGTTTTCCAGAAATAATGACTCCCTATAAAGACAATGGCCATCTAACAAATAGCCAAAAACAATATAATTTTCTATTATCTAGAGCAAGATGTACAATAGAAAGGGCCTTTGGCTTATTAAAAAAAGATTCAGATGTCTTAGTGAATTATTGGATGTGCGTTCCTCTCAGAGGAGGCCTACATATATTATTGCATGCTGTGTTCTGCACAATATATGTATTATACAAAATGATGTGCAAGATATTATTATTAATGACATTGAAAATCATGAAGAGGAAGAGGATGTCCACATACCTCAGCAAATAGAAAGAGCATGGCAACTTATGGGAAGAGTCAAAAGAAATAGGATTTGTCAAGAACTCAGTGAATGATCTCAGATCTCTTCCACAATGGCTAATGATTTAGAATAAAGGTTTTTTCAGGAATATGACATTTACGGGACACGAAATAACCAACCAAAGTAACCAAGTTGATTTACGGAACATATTCCTTGCATGTTTCTCTGAGTTGTCGTTAGTCCTTTGTCTTTCAGTTGTTTGACTTCATTAATGGTTACTGTTTCCTGAATAATTGTGATGAACCTTTTTCCTGAAGTACGAAAAATAACTCACTAGCAGCGCTAGTAGTTCGGTAGGGACAAACTAAGATTCCTAGAAACCCTGGTGTTGGTAACGCTTAGATTTTGTTTTGAACTTTTTGAAGGAACCACCTGTTGCTTTTAACAACACTTACGAGAGTTTTCCCAAGATGGCGCTATTCTGAATTGTTCGAGTCCCCGCTGAGTCAGTCAAATTAATTATTATCTGTCATTGTCAAAAAGAATTTTCAACTTTTGGTATTTTGAAATTGATATTTTTTGTCATCCCAATCTTTACATTGTTCGCATTTTTTATTATAGTTTTCGTTCGTTAGTTCTCAGTTATTTTAGTTTGGTTACATTTTTCAGTAGTAATAAGGAATAGTTTTATATAGTGTATAAGGATACTTTTTGTAAAATGGGACAATTCTGTATTTTGTGTGGACAGTGTAAAAATTCGAGTAATCATCTGTATTCAGTGCCAAAGGTAAANGTTGTCATTCTGTCGCGTTTCGGTACTTCTCAGAGAATCATTCGTCTGTTTGTTGGTAGCAGTTGTCGATATCCCCCTGGAAAAAGTTCATTAAAAAACCAGGTAAGAGTATTTCTGCTATCACGTCATCATGTGTGCGTGAATACTCTTATCCATTTTTTCCATGAACTAAGCGCGATCGCATTCGCGCCGTTCACGGTATATCTCCAGTTCTTCATAGACTAGCCCGTGCTTACGGCGCTGTCCATGATAGCTTCTAACTGCCGTGACGTCCCTCGTCAGCGGGCTCTTCGGTAGAAAGAACTTGAAGAATTTCTGAGCCAGTCTCCTGATATGGTCGGTGACTGACTCCACTCCTGCCAGATCTAACAGATTGTTCAATGAAATGTATCTGTCACTGTTAGTGCAAATACGGAGCACCTTATTCTGCATTCTCTCGAGTCTCATTAAAGGGGACTTCTTGACTTCTTATACAGGCTGATTCAAGGTGGATGGTACGTTAGACGTTTCTGGTGAACCAGACAACGGATCACTTTCAAAATTTATTGGAGAGCTCAGCATATTCAGACATTCTCTACCCAACTAAAATGTTGCCACTTCCATTAGAAAGTAGTAATAACTACTCAAGTTTATTACAATAATAGCAGATAAGACCACAGATTTGTCTGTTGAAGAACATCTTACAGTTTGCATAAGGTATTTCAACACCAAAGAATACAAGATTGAAGAAGATTCCATCAAGTTTGTGTATGTGGTGGATCTCAGTGGTGAAACCTCAGCTCACACAATTTCACGAGGCCTTGATTTGGCTAATTGCTGAGAACAAGCTTTTGATGGATCCTCCAATATGAATGGAATATTTAAGGGTGTGCAAGCCCACATTTTCCAGATTCAGCCTCTTGCAATCTACAGCCACTGTGCCTCTTCAAGAGGAGGGTTAATCTTCCTCTTGAAGATGATCACTTGGTGTTGGATAAAACTCCAGTAATATTCAAGTCTCATTGGCTTCAACTACATCCTGTTCGTCATATGCTAAAGTTTTGCAACTAAACTATATTCCAATCTGTGGTTCAGTAAATGTACACAAAAGCACCCAAATGTATTTTTTCACTAGAAATATTTTAGAAATATTATTTCACAAAACCTCAATATAAACGGAAATTACATACACCCGTAAGTGTTATTGAAACAACTAAATAAATGCAGCTTCTCAATGAAGCTGATTACTTCATTTGGTGAATGATCCATAAAGTTAGTGACCATTATTGGGTCTGAGAATTATTTGCCATAAGAAAATGCAATCAGCCAAGAGTACCTAAGTGCGGCAAGCCAGTTCGAGAAAGGAGGGTAACATCCTACCAAGGACTCCAAAAATTAAACAAGCATTTCATCAGAGTGATTTGGATAATCTTAGAAGTTTGAATGGATGTCTGTACAATCTCCACCTAGTACCATTCGGTTATGTAATGTATGAAACAGACGATTTGGAATACAAACTCTTATGGAGTTATTGTTATATTTTTCAAATAACCAAAGACCATTCTCCTCACCATCAGAATACTCGGTCTGAGAATCATGTGCTCTGGAAGGATGCTATGAGCAAATTATGTATGTACGTAGGTATATATGCAATTAGAGTATTCACTTGACTAAAGCATAGCCTGTAACTGAAAAATTTGTTGCTGTGAGACTATATGAATTTTTTTACCACTTACATAATTTGTACAACAGCAGCTACTTAGGAAGGCGAGAGTTTACACTAGACATATTCAGAGATCTTTTGTTGATCACTAGAAGTAGTCATCTAAACTGTATCTACCCAAAGCAGTGATGTCCTGTGCCATTTAAAAAAACGCTCAAACGATTTTACCAGGCATTTACAAAGGGAATGAAAAAAGGGGTTGATACCAAGAATTCTTGAAAGCTTCACTTAACTCGTGGAGTCGGACAGAAGAAAAGGGGGCAAATATTTACAAAAAGCTCAAAGCTCTAATTGATCTGTATTCAGGAAGACGAAGAACAACATGACATGGCAGAAATGCTCAAGGTTCCACATAATCCATGTGCAGACACAAAGTGTTCTTGGGAAGGATAGACAAATATCTGAGTTCGGAGTTAGTTCAGAAATCGGAAGAAGCAGGAGGCTGCAAAGAGAAATGTGAGGTGCGGTCGAAAGTTCGGCACTAATACTTCAGTCTGGCTCGCTTCTCAATTGTTTACTCCACGATCATTGGAACAACAACCGATGCCGGGGTGCGCGCAATTTTTTTCGCCAAAGAGAGTATTCAAGCTAATATTTAACAAGACAGGCTCAATTCAATCACCAAGAATAGTAATTCCCCTTGTTAAGATCGGGATGGAGTGGTTCATCAATCAAGTTATTTTAATTTGAGCTTTCTTTTCATAAATGTTGTTCTTTCTGTAAAATGGTATATTTGGTAACACAAATACAATTTTGTGGAGATTTCACACAGTTTGACTATTTACTGATTCATATTGGAAGATTCCCTCATACTTGTTTTTTGTATCAAGATGGAGTAGTAGAAAGCCATAAACTTTCTTTCCCAAAAATTAATCACTCCTAAAAATATAACCCCTTCAATTCATATTGGAACCATTTCAACTTATTGTTTTTTAATTATATCGTCCTATCAATATATGCTGGAGTAATGAAGTCTTTCTGATTTTTATATTTTGCAGGACGTAGTTGTGATGGTTAGCAATTTCATAGTTCATTCAGTTTTACAATATCTTTTGTAGGCGGCGAAGTTGAGAAAATAAATTTACAAAATTGTGACTTATATTGAAAAAACATTTTATTAGTTGAAAGTTCGAATACAAAACTGCAAGAAAGAAAGCAATTGAATAGTTTTTTTATACAAATAAAGTATAATAACAATGTTATAAATACCTCAAAAAGTACAACAAATAAAATTCAACAGTATAAATGGTATCATTAATAAATAGTTTTAGGTATATCCGAGTATAAATATGTTTTCATATTCTCCATTTTTTGAGATCTGCTAACATAAAAATTATAATTTCTTTACAACAAAAAAAATTACTCCACCATTATCTTCCACTTGTTCGAACAAAAATGCGCAACAAATAACATCTTAGATTCTGGGTTCACAGGCCAGTCATAAGTAACTCTCTTTTCATTGGAGTCAATATTTACTCTGACTTTTTGGTTATTGACCAAGTCACATGTAAAACAGACCTGTAACAAGAATTGTAAAAGTATTGAAAAACTCAGGCATATTTTAAGTCTAAGATCAGCAATGTGATAAGAATTTTTTCAAAACATATTTTATATCTGTTTTAGGTCTCAGAAGCAGAATACTTCAATTTGAATAATGTTAAAAACCCTCAATTCAGATGCTTTTCAATTTGAATCATTTATGTGAATGGGTCCAAATAAGCATACCTTTAGTCCTTTGGTAAAATTGGGCAAGACAGTGGATTTTTCACTCCCATCCACATATATCTTTCCATTACTGTTAACCACAAAACAACCTTCCGCCATCGAATTTGAGATTTCCATGTCATTTTGTAAATTGTCCCATATCAATCCCACTAATGCTTCAGAGGAGTCCACCTCTAGAAACTGAAAAAATTCACAAATTATACTCAAATGTAATAAATTTTGAATGTAACAAAATGTATGAAATTACTAATGAAAGTTAATGCCTGCATAAAAATACATCAGTACCTACTATTGGAAGTTAATTTTTTTGCAGTTGAGTTCATTTCAAATTTTCTGGAGAATGATGATAAAGTGAATTAAACAAGTCCTCACAGTGAAACAAAAATTGACAACAAAATGATTGTACATGAGACCATTCAGTTTGTGATATAAGAAATTTGGAACAGAAGTATGGGTTATTGGAAGCGATATTTCTAATGATGAAACATTTGAAAATGTTTTGTACCTAAGTTGAGAATTAAAGAAAAAAACTGTATATTCTAAATCATTTGATGGTTTATGATACAAGTGACCAATTCTATTCAAAATGGTGGCGTAGGAGCCATTTTCTCAGAATTCAATATGAAGGCAGTAAGTCATCATCATCAATTATGTTCTTACAGCAAAACCTGATGACAACAAAACGATTGTGCATGACGTCATTCAGTTGTCTTTGAGATAAGAAATTTGAAATTCACAAAAAAGGTTTGGGTCATAGGAACCGATATTTCTTGTTATGACACAATGTTTCCCATTTAGTGTCGGTATATTGACATCTGTATATCGAAAACCCACTCACACAGGATAGTATTTGAACCAGAAATCCAACCACCATCAATCGACTAAGAGAGAAATCATCAGAGCTTTCGGGCTCTGTAATACAAAGAAAGGTCTCGAAAAGGAACTAGGCATCATCAAAAATGACCTTCAACGGAATAGTTACTCCAGAGTGATGGTAGAACAGGCTTTGGCTAGAAGAGAGCAAGAGCGCCACAAGGAAGAGAAGCCGTCACAACCAGTACTTGTACTTCCCTACATCAGAGGATTATCGGAAAGGGTAAGAAGGATTGGGTCCAAGTATAACATCAGGACCTGCTGCAGATCTGGGAACACTATCCGTAGCAGCCTCACAAAAACCAGGCCACCAAACGCCGACTGCGATTCCAAGAATTGCATTTACCGGATACCCTGCGAGTGCGGAGAATCATACATCGGTGAAACTAAGAGACCTTCGAAAGTTCGCATTGCTGAGCACAAGAAACACACACAGCTAGGAGAAACCAGTAAATCTAGAATAGCAGAGCATTTTTGGACTCATCAACATAATATCAAGTGGGCTCCAGCTGAAAACATCCACAAAGAGGAACACTGGTTTAGGAGAAAATTCAAAGAAGCCTCATATATGCTGTCTAACAACGTCAAAAACGACTAACTCCCGTCAAACGATTATCTCCAGCTAAAACCTATGAAGCAGAAAGAGGGAAGAGGGGATAGGTGAAAGCACTCGAATGACCAATAAATAGTCAGATCTTGGAGGAATAAGTCCAGTTATCACCCGAAGACGATTGTGGATCTAACAATCGAAACGTCGTGACGTAACTTGGTTTGGAATCTTTTTATTTTTCATTTTTTGTTATTATTTTTTAATTTTTTAATTTTCATCTTTTGTGAATATTACATTTTTTTTGTTGTTGCTTGCATGTTATTTCTTTGTAATAAAATTGTTATTTTCGGTTAATCTTTTTAATTTTTTTCAGGGATTTCAAATCAATTTATAGTATATTAGGCAATGAAAGTCCGAACTGATGAAATATCTCTTCCGGTTTAACCGGAAATGGTTCCAACAACTGAAAAGCACCTTGTACAATGAATTCGTATGCCACGTGGTATGAGTGTTCCGCACCATTTGTTGTTAAAATGTTGCTGAATTGATAAATTATGTTTGTTTACAGAATTTTAACTAGAAATACAGTATATGGTACAATGAGTGAAACTTAAAAGGAACATTTACCGTGAACTCCACAGAATGTCCTACAGAGAACTGTGCGCCATCTGAAATTAATATCTTGGAGACACTTTTCTTAGGAGCTGCAATTCTGTTCTCATTAGAAATAATATAATCCTCGTTTGGTTTCCATGAAAAGTGTTTGAGAGATGTGGAAGACACTTGAGGCAAAGACCAAGGTGACCACTCTGATGTTCCTTCGAATTTACAGCACACTCTGAATGAATATGGTTGTCTGGCTAGGAGATCTTTCACCAGAAACTGAGTATCTAAACCTAGATGACACAATTAAAAACAGTTTGGAAAATTCAACATATTTTTTTATACTTAAGAATTAAGCAATATACCAACCTTTATAGCAATCTTTAAAATTAGCCACCAGATGCTTATCTTTAACAACATCACCAAAAGCTCTCTGCAATCTGAACTCCTGAATATCTGTCATTCTTTCTTCAATTTCAACATTTCTCCATTCAATAAGTAAGGCACCAGGTTTTTCAGACAAATCTGTCACCTAAAAATGTGATATATTTATATAAAATTTAATAATAATAATAACAATAATATTCAGTTCATAAGATTGAATACATATACATATAAACAAGAAGAAATGCAGAAATAAACATGACAAGCCACTGAAGCTCATAGAGCTTGTGTATGACAAAAAAAACTGAAACAATAAACTAAGTTAAGACGTTTTGTGTGTGACGTCAGTGGAAATGGAAAAATGAATAAAAATATCATGAACATGAATCAGTGAACAAACAACATTACAAACTAAACTATTGGTCATTACATTCATACACCATATACGTAGAGTAATTGAAAGTCATATGTTTTATATTTTATTCAATGTTCTGTTCTTAATATAGTCCTTGATCACTGCACTTTTGTAGAATTGCTGTCTATCCTATAGGGTAAGTCCTTGTTCAGAAAGATTGCAACAGTACAGAATATGGTGAACAATAATGGCAGATGTGAATTAAAACACATGAAGGCAGATACAAGAGCTTTGCAGACTTTAAAGCACTCTTAAGTTTTTCCCTATGCAAAAATGAAGATTAAATACTGAATTTAAATTAAAAAAAACATATTCATTTGAAAGACGTTGAGAAGAGTGACATATATTTCTGCAGTATCTGAATGCTTCAAGTTTGTTGTGAACAATATTTCAAAGATGGTTTGGTTTGAGATATGTGGCGAGTAAAGGAAAAAATCCTGAATGCCAATTTTCAATTTGAAATGAGTATCCTATCAGATTTTCTTTTTATTAATTATGTTATCATTGTGTGAGTGATGACATCAAAAATGATATTTTTAAAATTGAAATGAGATTCATACACATGATTTGAAAGTTTTTCAATTATGCACTTCGAAGTTTGTTTTCTTTCCTTATGAACCAAGGAACAGTAACGTATCAGATTGTATTTTCAAAGAGTTGAATGTGAAAGTACCCCTCGAAACTTCTTGCTCACTTCAACAACTGTTAGGTAACTCTAAAGACAAGATGATGGAAAATGAAAAATTGGAGATATATGAAATAAGCTGTGAGGACTATGGCAAAAACTAAGTAAGGCATTAAAACTTGTTTTAATGTACATATCTGATTACAAAGTCCAGAAAATCTAGTGTCACTCAACACGCCTTATAATAAATGAAAACTGCCTAAAATTAGGATTGGTGCATAATACTAGTTTTTTGGATTCTAGAAATGGCAAAGTGTAGCATGAGAACTTTGAACACTGACAAAAGTCCCATTCCAAACAACCCACTATATTCCTTTTCATGAATCATGCTGTTGAAATTTGCGGGAACTTTCAACGGAAAATTTCCTGCAAATTTCTACACATAATCATTGATGTGTATCAGAAAGTGAAATTGTGTCCTATTAGATATAAAATGAGTGTTTTACAGTTACAAATTAGTTTTCTTTATCTCCTGAAAACGCCAACTTGATTGGTGAAAGGCATGTGAGAGGAGTATTGCATTTATGGTGTTTGGAAAAAGTGTTTGTTTTGGATGTATTTATTCACTTCAACCTTATTCATCATTGAATTTTGGGAAATGTTGAAATAGTTTAAGTTTAGAGCTGCTTGAAGTAATTCCGAAGAAAAGTAAATGAGAACATCCGTCGTTACCAAATGTATGCTGTAACAAATAAAATGTTTATTTTTCAAGAGAAGTGAAATTACCTGTATAGGAGCTATTCTGCAAACATAACCAAACTGTAACAAAATATCTTTGACTTCGACTTCTGAAGATTGTTCATAGTGAAAACTGAGATAAGGCACTTCTTTCAAATCGGGAACTTCAGGCAGACTTCCCAATTTGCTAGCATTTGTCACAAATGTGTCGACACTTTCGTTAACACCATCTATAATTGAATTACCTATTTTTATTAATTTGTTTGTGGATTCAATTTTGTTTAAAATAATACTACGACATTCTTGTAAAGGAGCTAAACTCTCACTCTCAGTCTAAAAAAAATATTGGAGGTTTCAAGATCTGAAATGAAGAATTATTGGGATAGGCGAGATTACCTTTTTGGCTTTATCTAGTAAGAACTTTTCTCTTTTCTTTAGAATGTACATTAACTCGTCCTTTAGGTTAGAAAATGTTTCACTAATATGTTTTTCAGTGTTCCTGAAGGTTGTGTCTATTTGCTCCAGAGCATTTTCCAGTTCTCCTTCTAAGCAGTTCAAATGATTCAGATATAAATTAGCGGCCTTCAATGTTTCCAAAACCTCAGATTTATCCATTTTCCGTTTTAAAGAATCGCGGATCCACAAACTATACTATGACTATTTATTTCAAATACAAGAATCAATAATAGAAATGTCAAATACCAAAGCTGGCGAAAAAGTATCTAGTTTCTAATGTTTTCATCTTCCATAAAGGTTCACGTCTGGTTAAGATTCCTAGAAACCAATGTCAACTACATAATATCTGCCAACATTTCTTGAGTTGAAATATCAAGAAATTACACGAAATTTCTTCAAAACTTTGCTTGGGTTGAAACTTCAACTAATAATTCACCAGAACTTGGACACTTATCTTTCAATTTAATACTGACAATTCGTCAATAACACTTAAAACACAAAAAATTCATTAACTCACTTTTTAAGTTATCCTAAAAGCACAGTAGGTATGAAAAATGAATGTGGAATTAAATATAAATACAAATACACCCTGTGTGGTCTTATGATTACAGTTTACTGTAATGACTGCTTGCGCCATCTGAAACGGCGTAAACGGCGTTGATCTCTGCTAATCAAGTTAGCCATAAATCCCTCATTTTACCCCAAACTTTTGCAGGTATGAGTAGATGCACCAGGGTTTTTAGACATCTTACGTCTGGTTTAGGCAACCATCTAAATAAAGGCGTACTGCTTGGGGGCGCTCATGTTTTTTATGTATTCATACAAACTCCAAAAGATGTCAAAAAGTAACGACTTTGTTTGAAGATCTCTTCATACAACGGTATCGAATATAAGATGCCTTTACTGGTGATGGAAACTAATTCGGAGTAGACGTCAGAAATCGCCGGAAGATGGTGCCCTTAGTCAATATTTTATTTTAAACTGAATACTTTACAAACATCCATCACTCGATAATACAAAAAAATACATTTTGAATTCAAAATACTAAAAACGAAATGTATCTTCATAACAATAATCTCACATTACAGTAAATATGATTCACCTAGCAAAAGTTGTAACAAAAAAAATTAAAATTCGATAAAAATAAATTGAGACGAATATGATTCCATCTTTGTCTTATATAAAGATTCCATCGTTCTCTGGTAAGGGTGGCGCCACTTTCCAGTTAGATTTTGTATTATGTTCCACGAAGATCTGATAGATGGCTCTCAGGATTACCTCAAATGATTTTCACCATGTCTGTGACCTGACTATAATATTAATATTTTCTCTTTCAGTCTAAATTTCGGAGGGGGGGGAGAAGATTTCTGAATGTCGAGAGGGGGTATTATAAAGACGGAATAATTTATATATGTAAAAAAAAAATATCTCCAAACCTGAAAGAATTGAAGATGACATTCTGCTATGTGAAAATATGTGCGTGTATTTGTTACCATACTCATTGGTAATTTGTTGAATGTTCAAAACGAACATTGTTCCCAAACACCGGAACTGCAACACTTGACGTTTTCAGGAGATGAGGTACATTAATTCGTAACTGAAACTGGTCTCAATTTATAAGTAACAGGGTACACTTTGACTTTCAGACACACATCAATGATTTCTGGTAGAAAACTGAAGCAAGATTATCAATCAATTGGAAGAGAAAGATATTTTATATCGGAAAGCAGATAAAGGCAATAAGGTTGTGATATTGGACAAATCAGATTACTATGAGATGATTTAATTAAAAACGGTCGCACAGACTTTGAACATGAGTCTTCTAGTCCTACCGTTCCTAAAATATGCGGTCTGCCAAAAATTCACGCACCTATCTGACAAGTCGGTTCGGTTCGGTGTGACAAATTGCTGAATGGACAACCTAACAATTTGAAACTCTCTCGATCTCATAATAACCTGAGTTTTGTTGATTCACATAAATAGGAGCTAGATTACTTTCTACGGAATTGAATAAGATATGCAGATGATATATTTTCGATGATTAACGATCTAAGGTAGAGGATTCTGTTTCAACATCTAACAACAGACCTCCAAATATTAAGTTTACATATGACATGAAAAAAACAACGAGGAGTTACCATTCTTGAATATCTTAGTGATTAGAATTAACCAGGGTCTAGAATTTGATGTCCATAGCCATAGAAAGAATACCAGTACTTTTAGATATATTCCACATGATTATTCACAACACAAAGTGGCAGGGGTAGCGTTCAAATATAGTTTTAGGCAATCGCCAAAGGCCGATTTTGCCTAGTCCTGATTGGCGAAGGTTCTACCGGTGAGAAAGTTATCGGAGTACGGAGTGTTCGAAAAGATGGTAGTCCGTTGGCGGGAGGTCTGGGAAGTAAGATTGGTGAGGCAGAACTTCTGCGCTTAATTCGGACGGGCGTGTTGTCGTAGAGCAGGATCTGACCTCTTCAGTTGACTAGTGCCGATTTCGAAGATCAGAAAAATCTAGCGCCTTGAAAAGTGTCTGAAATTGTTGAGATCGGTTCATGACACTAGATTTTTTAATGTTTTGAGAAGTCTGAAAACAGCAAAGTATGGCATGAGAACTAAATACAGTAAATAATATTACTGGAGTTTTTTTTCCAACAACAAACCTTTATTTTAACACCTCGACACGTGTTTCGATCACCAAGTGATCATTTTTGAGTCCATTGTTTATTCTCAGTTGAATCGTTTTATTAAAATCAGCGGAGACTATGAGAAAATTTTTCGCAAATTTTTAACGGAAATTATCGAAATGTATCTGAAAGTGAAAAGAGTACCCTGTTAGATTTAAATGTTGACCAGTTTTACAGTTAGGAATTAGTGTACACCATCTTTTGTAGACGCCAACTTGGTTGGTGAAACGTATGTCAAGACGAATGTTGGAGTTCTGGTGTTTGGGAACAGGGCTTGTTCTGGATTTAATCTACACCAGAGGTTCAGTATTGAATGTTCATGTCGGGGGAGGGTAATTACCCCCATTATCTCCCATATAAATCCGACCTAGATTAAGACAATAACTATATAGATAATTGAGTTTCAAACAACGACGACATTGGTCATCTGATTTACATGAAAATTCTATAAGCACAATCGTTTATTGGATAAGAATTTTGAAAAGAATGTAGATATATAAATAAATCTTTATTTGCTCCGGTTACATATATAATGTACACATATAAACTCCGAGGAGTGTAGAACAAGTCAGTATTAAATAACAAATAAAAGCTTCACATATATAATCAACATTATCACACACGTAGTTTTAAGACAAAAAAATAAAATAAAATCAGGCATATATAAATAACATTCGTATAGTTAACATAGTATCATTTAAGAATTCCTGCAAGCTATAATAACGTTTTTCTAGGAGGTAGTTCTTCAAACGACATTTCATTGTTGAAATTGGTGGATTTCTTAGAGTGAGTGGAAATTTATTGTACATGTTTATAACGCTATATTTGACATTTCTCTGTATATACGTATAGTTGCATTGCTCATTTCTAAGATCATTCTTTGTTCTGGTGTTGTATACGTGATCTTTTTCACAGTTAATGAAAAGTATATTTACTGTTGATAGATGACGTCACTGTTACCTATGTTTATACCACGAAAAAAAATCAAGTAACTTTTCAATTAAAAGTGAAGTTTATATAGAATAATAAACTACGATTTGAAATTTATTTGATAATGGTAGTTTGTTGAATTCACCATTTCGATTTATTGTTTCATTTCTTTTAGTTGCAGAAAGTCTGTAGAAGTAGTGATGTTTTAGTGTTTATTGAGATAATAGAGGACAATACTTTTGTTTTGCAAGATGATAGCAAAAAACTTTTGTAATATTTTCTATATTACTAACCTCTACTCATATTCCTACCAATTCAGAATCTTTACGTGCAAGGCGTTATATTCAATGTGGAATGTTCCTCAATTTGAGTTATTACAGCAAATGCAAGTTTGAACAAAATAAATTTGAGTTTTATTCATGAGTTTTTCAAATTCACTTCGAAAAAGTATTCAAATTGATGTTTCATATGATGGGTTTTAATTTTTAAAGGGATTTGCTTTTGATTCACATATTGGCAACAGCGCCTATATCAAGTTGAAATAATTTATACGTAGGTACCTAGATATTCTACTTTTTAAGAAGAAAATTATCTTTATAAATCAACAATTAAGGTAAAATATAAATTATAGTTCAAAACCACCTCCACAAGCCACATAAACAACAGTTGTTTTGTTATTTATTTATATAGAGGAAGATAGGTTAGGTGCACAAAATGTCATATGTCACAGAATGTCTCGGAACTCAGAACATAAGTAAACAGAACAGCACGCCTCTGAAATATCTCATATTTGTTTGTCTCATACAGGTAACAGATTCATTGTCCTTTATTAGCTATAACCGATGTTGCCAAATGGTGAAATAGAAACGAACCCTTTTAAATGTTGAATGCATTATTTCATTCTTCTTTTTTAAGTATTTAAATAATTTTTTAAACAAAAAGGTTGAAATGATAAGTTTAAAATGCGTTGTTTTAGAGCTCTTTAATGAAAACTACTTGATTTTCATCAGGTGGAACATTCCCCATTGAATCTATTCAATAAGGGTCACCATTGGCAAGGTCGCCAGAGGACGCTGGTGGGTGGTGGGCGAGAGACCAAGAGGAGAGTTTAACATTTAAATTGCTATTTGAGTGCCTAAGAGATAGATGTTTGATTTTGTCTTATTTTAGGAAACTAAAGTTCGTTTTGCGAGGTTTTGTTTGTTCCCATATAGAAGGCATAGAACATAAATACCATGCCATTACCACTTGCCAGATATAGATATACACAGAACGGAGTGCCCGAGAGGGGAGCAACTTCGAGATAGGACAGAGATAAATAATAAGACAACCCATAAGAAAAGCTGGTGCCCGCACTTACAAAACTGATAGACATCAAAGAACCAAGTAGTGGGAAGGTGTGATTAAAAACATACTGCTCTACGGAGCACTTATATAGTATATGGAATGGGGTTATGAAAATCCAGAGATACAAAAACCATGATTACCAGTTTGCAAAGGCGATTTTTTCTCAGATTTCTCCTCTGCAAGTCGAATTGAAGAAAATATCGATTATTGCCATAAGAACCAGTTGTAAATTACATTCAAATATTTGTTGTGACATCTAGGTAAGGTATCTATTACAATATTGTTTTACATACATAAGAAAGACCATTTTTCATTATAATTATTAAATCCAAACGATATTGATGATTATTTATATATTAGAAAATGTGTTTTCACTTGTATACATACTATGTATGTATGTGTATATATCTAAATATTGAAAGCTCGCCATAACGATAAACTAAACTGACGTTATTTACAGTTGCAATCACCTAATTCATTCACTTTATTTGTTAGGGATGTCGTAAGGGGAGGATTTTAATAAAGAAATTTGTAGGCAAATTTCAGATTAACATAAAAATATCATATAATTTAACTTTGAAAACTGCTTCGCCTTCAACTATCGATCTAATTTCATCTTCCAAACAACGTTCCAATGATAATGGCAATTTTTTTTTAATTTCTCAAACAGTTCGAAATAGCCTCAGACACTTGGTTAAATCAGAAACCAGAACGCTCTATATTAACTGCGCATGGACCTGACGTTCTAGGACCTGACGTCCTAGAACCTGAATTTCGTAGAACCAGGACATAAATCTTATTTATAGTCTTATAGCCTCTCAGGAGCATTCATTATCCGTTTTTATGCTCGACTTTTCGTGTTCTACTCTGTGGCTACCTATTTCTCTAACAGGGAATCCTCAATTAAGTGGTGAAAACTACTTGGAAATACAAATGAAACTTGTATTTCTTCATAATACAAAATGGAAATTGACTAGTTTTTATAGATCTGCCAAAAATGTTCCCGTGGTAGGTAGGCAAATGGATCGTTATTTTGCCCAGTTCCAATTTTATACAGTTGTCAAAACTTGAATATTTCTGAAGATTTTCATCGCATTATTATTGTGGATCAGAAGGTAGAAATGAGAAGTAATTTTTCTATTATTATTATTCATCATAATTGTAGTCGATTATATTATTATTGATAATTAAATATGCTTCGAATTCAAGGTCAGCATTTAAAGTGGAGTTTGACTTGAAGGATTATTGCCTTATTTTCGTGAGGTTATGTGAATTAGTGAAGTGTGGCAATTCGTTTTTCATTTCGGTCTCTCATATATACCTATCTGATCATTGTATTGGTGAGTTGGTAAATATTCGTTTTGAGGGCATACTCAAAAAATTTGAGTATACTTACGTAGGTATTTTGATGCGTAGATTACGAATCCGAAAGAAAAAAGCGGCGCTCTCCCTTATTTACAAAGTTACGGCCCTTCAAAGTTCAGATAAGGGCAACTTTTCAGCCTTCTTTTTCACAAGATAAACTATTTTAAAACACAAGCATTTATTCACTAGGTCACCTTTACACCTTATTCCTCCTTCCTTGACACTTTTCACTTCAACAATCAACATTTTTCCAATAAAAATGTTAAAAAATGTACGGAGCTGCTTTTTGGTTATATATCTCTGTATTTTACGTTTTTTTTAAGGTTAATGGCATAGTTGGTACGACTGATGCAAGCATTCCTTTTTAAATTAAGTTTTTTATAAGAAAAATATTGATTGTTGAATTGAAAAGTGTCATATAAGGAGGAATAAGATGTAAAGGTGACGTGGTGAATAAATGTTTGTGTTTTAAAATAGTTTATCTTGTGAGAAAGAAGGCTGAAAAGTTGCCCTTTTCTGAACTTTGAAGGGTCGTAACTTTGTAAATAAGGGAGAGCGCCGGTTTTTTCTTTCGGATTCATAATCTACGCAAACTACGCATCAAAATACGTAAGTATACTCACATTTTTTCAAAATCGCCAGGTGTCCTCAAAACGATAATTTACCCTTTTAGGCAAAGTTTTAATATTTAGTCACAATTAAATTTAAATACATTAGTTCAATTTGAATAGGACAGTGACAGTGATTGAAATTGTGAGAATGATGCATAACTAGGCCCCGAGAGGCACGCATGAAAAAAAATAATGGCATCTAGATGTTAATTTCATGACTATCAGTTTTATCATTGTTGCGAAGAAGCGTTTTATCGCTGTCAAAATATGTTTTGGTGGCGTAGCCTTCAAACATTTTCATTTCTTTATTGGTTTGAATGAAATAATCGATAAAAACTAGTTCAATTTGTCATTGTCATTTTCCATTAGGGTTGATAAAAAACGTTCACTTAACGGTCAAGATCGAAGAAACGTGTCAAAATTTTGTTTAAAGAAATATTTCTGACCAAAATCATATATCACCCAGCAACTTTATACCTAATTACAAATTTTTGCCTACTTTTCACTGTTTTTTTTGCCTGTAACACTGCACCTACTAGAAAGAACAATTATTATTTGCAAAGAAATTCCCAATTCCATTGACACATGATAAATGACAAAATTGTTACAAAATCAAACAAGTATATACCTACTTATAAAATATTTCCTTCACATAATAACCCATAATTTGTCAACACCATCGCATACTCAAATATAATCGGACTTTTTTTCTCATAAAAATCAGCATCAAACAAGACCGACAAGGTCAAACGAACCATAAAACAAACAACACATTATTTGTTTTTTTTCACAGCACTTCCTAAGGTGATTCCCGTTTTTGACGCGCAGACAAGTTGGCGATGTGCTCCCACCCTTCCTTCGTCAAAACAAGTTCTCCACACCAGAGCTTACTCGATTCCAAGCTCGCGTTCAGTCAAAGACGCAATTTAGAGGGTGCTGGATGACGCTGTGGCATTCGGTTTCATCAGAGTTCGCGCGAAAATTTTGAGCATCGGACGTTTGGCGGAGTTTTGTGAGTTGTGGAGGATGTTTTATGAAGTTTAGTGAGGCTCGTTGACAATACAATCAGTGAAAAAAGAAATTTTGGTTTTAATGCTTCTAGTGACTTTCCTCGTGTGAAATGTTTCATTTGACGATTGAAAGTAACGATGGGGTTCAATAATACCTAAGGTTAGTGTTGCTAATGTCAATATTGTTGTTGTCTTCAGTTGGAAGTTATTACAGCATTTAGCATTTATAAGGTTGTTTTCTTTGAAATTTGGGTATAAGAATTATAAAACGTCGAAAGAATAATATTTTTCATAGTTTCATTGGTACACGCATTATGAAGTCTTCTGAATCAGATTTATTTACGTACTCTTCAAATGAAGACGTACCTATGTAAATGAAACACTTAATAAGAACACATCAGTATTTGTTCAAAAGACAAATGAAAAAAAGTAACTGAATTTGCACTAGAAACTTTACTGTTTAGGAACTATTTTCTGGTAAATCTGAACATCGAACCTTATTCGTATTCCTGAAATAATAATGAATTAGTTAATATCTAAGACTAGGTAGTTTATTGAATTAATTTACTAGTTTTAAGTCAATAATATTGGCAGAAAGATGAGGCACATGGAAATGACAAATCAATGAAAAATATATGCTGACAACATTTTCAAGTGTTTTATTAACTTTTTTCGCTCATGAAAAATACACATGAATTCTACGATAAACATTACTGTTTTTTAAGGGGACTCACTAGGTGCCACACGAAAGTGACAAAATTTTAAAATATGTTCTAATTGCACTTTCAAAGTCATTGATATGCAATTATATGAGCTGAAAATCCCAACTGCTTTTTCTATGTCGTTTGTTTTAGATGTACTTTTACCTACATGAATATTTGATATGCTACAACACGATTTCTGAATATTTTTCTTCTATAAAGAGAATAATAATAAAATAGTCTTACTCCATGTTGATGAAATAAGTTTCAAGAATACATTTTGAATCTAATAGTGCTTTGGAGCAATAGAAAATTTTTGTAAAAACATTTTGGAAAACACCGGTCCATAGAAACTTACTTATGCACTTAGGTAGCTACCATATTTTCAAATGGAAGTAAAAATGTATATTACTTATTAGATTTCAGTTTCCTTTTTTCCTCATCATTCTTATTTAGTTTTACAAAAAGTTTATTTCGGAAATCTAATAAAAATCAGTGAGTACCTATAAGAGAATTCAATAATTACGTAAATTTTCATTCAAATCTACGGAATATATTTTTGAATCTCCTCTGAATAAATTAACGTGTACTTTGTGTGGTTTACTTAGAGAACAATAATGAAACATACAGTATCATTTTTCCATTCACTCTGACTTTATTGGAGGTATTGCTATTCATACCAACAACTTATTTATTGTATACAATAGAAGTACCGCCTATTGATATTTTCTGCCTCTTAATTCAACTATAATGCAGTCCTACCTACCTATTTGTTGCACAATTGAAAATAGATAATATGGCTATATTATTACCATCCTGGGCGATTTCATTTAATGCGGTATGAACATTTCTCATGGCATAAAAAGTAGAAAGGATCACCCACCTTGCATTTGTCTGAAATTTAAACAGATTGACGATCTAAAATTTTGTGTATTTGTTATAAATATTCTGGTTTCCTTGCTCTCAGGACACTTGTTCTTGCGCAAAAACCAGTATTACAATTTTTCTATAAAACTAGTATTTTTTTTATAAAATTAAACATTTTCTCATTTAATATTTCTAAACAAATATCAATGATCATGTGGCTATTCTATTAAATTCTGCTATTCTTCCACATGATCATCCCACATGAATTACCATGTGGCAGTGTTATTACCATGCCATGTGCGTGAAGAAGAAATCGCACAAGAGGAGCGTCGTGCTCAGTGTTGTTAGATCTACTGTTTTTGCAGGGCATTTTCTGTTTTTGCTTTCGAGCTACTTTTTCTACTGTTTGAAGAGTTGAAATGTACCAATGATTCAGTTTGCTTTCTATAATAATTATTATACAGTGGAAATCACAATGTATATAGTATGCACATATAAAATATATATTTTTTTGTTGCAATCTATTGTTTTTTGGCACAAAATTTACTGCTGAACATGATTATTTATAAGTAATTTTCCATTCATTGCATTCTTAATAAAATGTAAAAATTAATTTGAGAATCTCTTTTTCTAATGGCGATTTGATCTGTTGATGTGAAATATTTTCAGAATCACAATCGTCTTTTATTTAATGATGACCTGAAAATGCATTTAGAAATTTCAGCATTTCACATTATGTGGGTTTCTATCTAGGAATCTACTTTAGCTTTAGTGGGTGGTAAGTCACGACGTATTGTAATAAACGCCCACTGACATTTTCGGCATAAGACCATTCAATTATAACAAATTGATAGTCGTTTTTGCAAAATGTACACTTCCACATTTTGATAATTAGGCCAGAAAAATTTAATCTAGGACGGGAGAACCCATTCTATTTTAATTCTAGGATTCTATCCCTTTTTTTTTTTAAATAATTTGAGGCTAGCAGAACTATCAAGTTGTTAGAACAAAATCAAAATTCTTCATTTCAGGCGCTTTTATTACTTCACTGATCAATTTTTTGACGGTCATATGGATTGTTACCTCAGCTACAAAACATATGAGATGAAATAATTTGTTTTTATCAAGCGTGAGAAATTTGAACATAAAGAAATTTCTGAAATATCGTTTTCTTTCATATTTTTTCAAAATCTGAATTTAATAGTAGATAATTTTCTCAGATAATCTTCTGGATCATTTGTGAATATTTGATTCAAAAATAAGTATACTTACTCATCTAAGTAGTTGATATTCTTGAAAAGTACATTTTTATATTTGAATTCTAATAAGATAGGTACTTGATATAGCTTAACCTTCATAGTGCACATTGTTTTTTCAAACTGGAAAGTTTATATATAAATAATTGGAAAATTTCGACGTACCTAATGTCATCTTGTAGAACTAAACACACCAAAAACATATTTCAATGTAGCACAACTTGAGTTTTTAATCTAAATGTACCGAACTCTTCAATTCTCAACTATTATCTACGAAAGAAGTTATGAAAGGAGTTCGAAATGGAAAAGTATTCAATGGTGTAAGAAAGAAGCTTCAAATGGACTTGAATCATAGCAATTTAATCTCATTTTTATTACTGAACTGGCCGAACCCATGATATCTCAGATGAACGACAAACAAAATACTCATTTGGGATGGAGTTCAAAATCTTGGTTAATGGTCAACATGTTTAAATCTGTTTAAAATCTCAACTTTATTTCACTTTAAATACAACAAACACTTCAACTAAATGTCTATCGCCTTACTAGATCACTTCGCGTACTAACGAGGTCTTACCTTTTAACGTGTGATTCCTAACAATACATCCTGAAATGTGGTAATGAGAAAGTGTTCTTATATTACGTCAAAAAACCTAAACTGAAATTGGTGAATATCGGTTCTTCTCGAATGTCTCCAGAACTAATTGGAATATTCTGAATTTCAAAATATTATTTAAATATGCTCTGAAATAGGCAACTTTTTTAAATTCAACCGACCCTGTATCTCCCACAGTTTTTTTATTTTCCCATGCGAGTGGCATTATTGGTGGATAACATATTTTAACTGACTAAACTTGATGCATTTGGGATATAACACTTGAAAAATTATTTTAGGAAAAGTTATAAATTCGTAAGGTTTGATATCACTATAATAATAATATTTGAATGTAGCGATATAATAAAAAAATTGATCTTGAGTAAAAATTGTTATTTTTTAACCATCATTTACATGAAAAAGGTACTGTGAAAGGCATAATTTTCATAAAAGAATCAACATATTGAAAATTAACTCAAATTGGGTTTTCTTCATTTTCCATCCAAAAAAATTGTAACAGCGTCATGAGAAATAAAAGAACCAAACTTAACACAAACTGAACCCAACATATATCCAACCAATTGTATGGCCTTTATTTTTCATTTAAAACTTTCGATTGTCGAAGATTATTGTTTTTGTCCCTCAAGTATAATAGTATATGTATTTATCGTGTAATAAAATTGTCAAAAGTTAACGACCTTTTGATTTTCTATGGAAAGGACTTTGGTTGAAAAATTTCTCTCACGATTATAGTGTTATACTAGAGTAATTGTGTCATTGATCCACTCATTTTTTAAAAATTTAGTTGTCAAAAATTGGCTAATTGACAAATTCTCTTTATTTTCTTTTCCAATAATTTCTTGATTATATCACAATTTTTCTAGACGAGTTACTTCTCGTAGCGTCTCTCCATATCTGCCAATTCCCTATAAACTGGCAAATATACTCATATTTGTTTTTATAACCGATTCACTTTTCGAATTTTATTACATTTTCAAATTCCCTTGCTGACTATTAAAAAAGACCTCGTGGTCTCTATCAGTGTGAAAGCAGCCACGAGTTCTAGCCATGGATTTGTCGATGCGAAGCGGGAGATCCGATAATCAGCGGCTCCCAAAATACGGAACAAATACTGCCTCGCAACCACCATTTGTTCCGAATCCAAATTGTTGGGGACGAAATAGATTTCCAAGACTTTCTCGTAAATTGAAACAAGCAAGTTTCGCCACTAAACATAACTATGATTCTTTTTTATTATGGAAACATAACCACCCTGCACAGATAATCCTCATTTATGATAATTTCTCCTAAATTTTATCTCCTCAAAAAATCGAAATGTCCTTCATAATCACCAAATGTGGTGTGTGCAGTAAAATGTGGAGATGAATAAAAATGGAAATATCGAAGTATCTTTTTTGATGACGAGAAACATGAATGCAAATTGTGAAAGACAGTTTTGAAAGCGATCAATGATTACCTAATTGTTGTTACTATTGCTGTGATAAGTTGAAGAAGAGAACACAGAATGATAATTACTCGGTTTTATTTACTTGCAAGGTAAATAGAAGCAGGAAGTTTACTTCGTAATTCTTCCAATGTTGCAGCATCAAATTCAGCAGGACTATCAGTAGAACAGAGAAATCTAACAGCTGCTGTTATATCATCGTCAGAAACTTTCGACAGTACTTCTTTTTTGAGGATGTCATTATAATTTGTATGTTTATTCGAAATTTTGGCATAA